TACACTCCCTCCCCTGAATCACTCTTACGCTCTGGGGAGTCAAACGGCACTCGGGCCTATCTGACAGTTTTGACAGTTTATAATCCCCACGGCAAAGAACAGAACAGCACTCGCTCCGTTTCCCGAACTGCTGAGGTCAATCTTGTAGAATTTGATTATACATTTACTGACCTATTTTAAGAAGGAACAATAATGAATTCATTGTATTGTTTATATGTGCAATATGATTATGAAAAGTTAGCACCTAAATGCCAATCTTTATTTAATCAATAAAAAAAAACGGCAACTGTCATTATTCATTATTGTATACTTGATAAGGCACAGAGGATACGTTCCATGGTACTATCACTTGTGCTAAGTGGTGTCTAACACTGGTATCAAGGACAAATCCCAACAACACCCACCTCGCCCTCATGTACTACAATGCTTACGTTGGAGGAAGACCCTGTGCGACAGGAATTTCCTCACAATGCTTGCCACTCTGGCTCTTCATTACTCGTCATAAATATTTACACCAAAGCTGAAAGCGCACGGTTCTTCCATATGCGTGTTTCCTCTGTATCTTACTTCTATGTGTATGGTCTATTAACATGTAAAAATATATTGCCTTTTGGATTATACCATGGATTCAACATGCTTTCATATAAACTTGATATCCTTATGGTTCAGTTTTAAGTATGGTATGTGCTTTTTTACTATTAATTTTTGTAATTCCAACCAATTCGAAACTATTTTTAAGCCAACAAAAAAGAGAAATGTTTTACTTAAAAAATGTTTACCTTCTAGTGCCATGATCACAAATTTGAGAGTAAAATATTTTCTTAAAATTAAGGGGGGTCTACACGCAAGGATTTCGCGAAAGTTTTATCTGTGCAGGTAAAACGTTGCAGTCAAGTCGTTGCAAAGAAATGCGTCCACACAGTACAGGTTTCAGCACCAACTTTTAGTGCAGTTTTGTGATAACTTTCAGTTTATGTGTATGTAATATGATGGAAGATGTGTTTTTGTGGTCGATTTCTGCAGCCAGTGTTACAAGAAAGCAAAGAAATAAGTCTGAGAGACCCACTATGGTCAAGACAATGGTTACTAAAAAGACAACCAATTTCATAATAATTTCTCTGTTCACGTTTGAATCTACTGCTTTGTATTTTTCAAAAGTATCTAGGTCTTTTTCGTATCACAGTCACTATACCCCTTACTCTTGACACTCCACAAATTAAGTAAACTTCTGCACAGTTTGATAAATTCAACAATAAAATCACGGAAACATTGTTGAAGATCTGCGATCGTAATTAAAAAACACACTTATACCTCTGACAGCACGTGAAGACAACACTGCATACTGGGGTTTTGAGGGTGAAGACGGAGTTGAAACGGATGACAGTGTACACACGCAACGACTTGTCTGAAAACGCTGTCAAAAATATGCTCTCCGCAATAGTTTTATCGCTCCGTCTTCCGTCTCCGCGCAGTTCTAAAAAATAAAAATGCACAGTTTTGCGGTACACACGCAACGATTTGACTGCAACAATTTACTAGCGCAGGTAAAACGTACGGTAAATCCTTGCATGTAGACCGGCCTTAAGATAATTTAAATCAAACCTGAAACAACTAAACAGACACAATTTTTTCACAATAGAATGAGAAGACTGTTTTTCAGTCTCAAAATTTAATGATTTTTGTCAAAAATCAATGAATAATAGTTGTATCATCATGATTTTTATTGTAAATTTGGAACTTCAATCCTGATCAGACTAAGCAGAAGTTTAAACATGATCTAGCTTTAGCCTTAGTTAAATAATTGGAGGGATACTAAATTATAGCCTTTTAATCTGACTATGATAGGCTCATAAAATCAGCAGTTATTACAGAGTTACTATAAACAAATGTGGCTCAATTTATTTCATCATGTCTTCTTTCAGTCATAAGCTCATAAGAGCACAAACAATCATAAATAAAAAGTAAACGATAAATACTAATAAGGGAGGGCGAGTACTTAAATGCAAGTTGATTTTGAGACGGAAAACTGAGATCGGACAACTGAGACAGATTTTAAGACCAATCCAAGACCAAGATTAAAGAGCTAATGTTGCGGTGGATTCAAGATAATTGGTTTGTATATTGCATTCTGCCATATGAATTTGTAAAATTGTTATCTATTTGTGCAGCCATTATATTTGGCAAAATTGCTTATTTATTTTTCGATCGAAAGTATTAATTCTTGAATGAGTTGTTGAGGTTTCGAAATCCCTCAAATTTGCTGTTCACATACTATTTGGTTGTTCTATTTGTGCCTGCAATTTCAACTAAAGAATAGATACATATTGTTAATTTTAAACTTCGCTTTTTGGTTAGTCTAAATATTTAAGCTGGAAACTTAACAAACAAAATAATTATTATATTATAGTAATCCTATAGTATTTAAAGATTTTTTGGACATAATAATGTATTGGACACTGGGTTATATATAAGCTTTAAATAAAAAGCTTTTGTTTTTGAAGCTTTGCAGTTCAATATAAAATTCAACAATAAATACTAGCCACTCCCTTCTACATAAATTAAATGCAAATCGAAAACACTTTGAAAACATAAAACATAACACAAATAGTCACAACACATGAACGAGATAAATAAATTAAATGGATTTTGAGAATGCATCCTGGTTTTTATTTTGTGCTATGAGTTAAATATGTTACAATGACCAAATTAAAATGATCTAAATTAGTTTCACTTTATAAAAGTGAGAACAAGTCATGAAAGCAGAAGTTATGAATGATAAAAAAATCAAAATATAGAAAAATACAAATTGAGCGGTATTTTTCTAGTTTTTCAAACCTAAAATTATAATCAAACAGAGATTATTTATTACATTACAAGAAAAATTTATGTTTACAATAAATAAATACCCTTTAAAGATATTAATGGCAAATTGAATTAACAATATACAAAGATTTTCAAATAATCAAACATTTTTGGTACAATACTGTAGTTTCTACGGTTGTTTTTTAAAATATTGGCCATGTTTTGCTGCAGTTTTAAATCTAAAATTAAGTAAATTTGAAAGATTTTGACAATGAAACATGATTGAAACGAATGAAGCTATACAAATAATTAAATCTGGAAAAATGTTAACAACAAGTTAATAGAATACTTAGAAGGCACAGAAGAGATTATTCAAGAACTGTTTTTAAATTTGTACACAAAATGGTATGAGAAATACTAACTAATAATATGTCTTTGGTTGTGTTACTAGAGTTGAATATTGCCGTTACACATAAATTTAAATCTCATGTCAAATGCATCACAGAAAAAGAATAAAAACATGATTCTTTTTTCCTGACCAAAAAATTGCTTGAAAATTAACAAAGTCTTAGGATAGTAACAAACAATAAATTGTATTCTATATCTGTCAAACGTCATACACACTAAAGGAATAAATTCGTAAGCAAACATCATCAAACATTTTGTATGGCAGTAGTGACTCACATTGTTTATTGATATGTATTATAATGTTGTATCATTGACTTATTGGATACAGAAGAAGACATCCATCTACATGGATCAGCTGTCGCCAATTTTTTACTAAAAAAGAACACAGTTGTGTGAGCCAGTCACAGATTGCGCTAGTGTCTAAAATTCTATTTTGTACCTTATTTATTGTTACTGACATAGTTGCTGGGTCACAACAGTTGCTATAGCTCACAATAAGTCATTCCATCGGTTTGACTTGGTAAAAACCATCGTGTAATTGGCAGAAATCAGTAATTTAGATCAGCGCAATCTGTAGGTGGCTCACAACAATTAAGACAAATTTGATTAAAAGCCTGGCTACAACTTTAACATGGGGATGGAATGTCTAGTTGTTGTATTAATAGTCAAAAGTTGTATGAAATAAAGTTTAAGTGAGCAATAATTTAAGATATCTTTGAAAGGAAAAGTAAAGATATAGTATATAAAAACAAGATTGTATCGAGACACACCACGTGGCGAACAAAGATAGATTTAGCGCTAAATGAGATTGAATTTGCTCCACAGTTTTTCAGATTCATGTCCATAGGCGGTTGATTAGTCAAAACTAAGTATTGATATAATTAAGTATTCATCTCATATCCATGTTTGTGTCATGCCAAGAGTTTAATATATTTCAGTGTTTGTTGTTTATACATAATGTTCCACCATACTCATTGTATGCCTATTTTATAGATATTGTCTCCGTCTGTAATACCCTTAGCATGTATGTATATATAAAACCCTTAGCAATGTCTATCTATATATATAAAAGGGAAAGCCCTCACTGACTCACTGACTCATCACTAATTCTCCCACTTCCCATTTACCTAGGAGGCTAAAATTCGGTACAACGATTCTTTGGGCATTAAATGGGAAAACTAAGTAGTTTTTATTCTGGTCGGGCTTTTGGGCTCCGCCCCAGTGGCTCTGGAGTTTCCCATGTTAACCTTATGAGTACTCATATTTAAATGGAATTAAAGAATCTTAATAGCTGGTTCAACTAAACAAGTTGATTCTGTGATGTTCAATAGCATTAAAGAGTTAATAGGTTTACCAACAGGGTGCAGCACTATAATTATTTTACATTTATGACAACAGCTTGCAACCAAAAGGTGAGTGAGCGTAGCGAACGAACTTCAACCTGGAGGCGAGTTAGCGTAGCGAACGAGCTAACCTGAAGGCAAGTGAGCGCAGCGAACAAGCTCCAACCTAAAGGTAAGTAAGCGTAGCAAACAAACTTCAACCAGAACGTGATTGAGCCATGCGAACGAGCTTATCTTGAAAATTAACGAGCATTGACATAAAACCACATTAGGACAGGACGACGACTTGAACAATTGAGCAGATTTTTTTCATGAATAGAGCCAATATAACCACAGGCTTAGTGGAGATAGTCATTTTTAATTTATTATTAATACTTATGAAGTTAAACGGGGCAAAGCCCACAGGTTATATATAACCCACAGTTGTATATAAATAAAATTGTGATATTCTGTTGTGTAACCATGTTCACATGTTACTGGAAATTGTAGCAATTTAAGAATAGGTAAATGTCTTTACAACTACTCAAGCTAGTTTTAAATTCACGGTGACAAAATTTAATTCAATTCCATTTCTTTATTTACAGCATAAACTAGTTTGCAATATGATGACTTAATTTAGTTTAAGCTATAGTTAACTAAATTTTTACAAAAAGTTACCCGAGCAAGTGTATTAAAGAGTTTTCATTAAAAGATTTTAAAGATTAAGAGGATATTACTGAACTGTTGTTTAAAAAATTACATGATTATTTTATATCATCATTAAGCTTGATCCAACTTATACATTACTGTTTTTATTATTGTAAAATTTTTGTAAATGGAGTAAATATGATTTGGCTTAGTTAGGACCTATAAGTAGGTACTTATCTGCCATATTCCATCATAGCACTGGGAAAGAATCGTCAAACAGCATGGCGCTTAACATCAAGGCTGGTCAACTTGCTTTTGTAATTGTGTCCAAAAGAATCAAGAAAAGCGTTGATTTTTGGGATACTATAACTGAAGCGAGTTGACCACATCGTCCACCACAGTCGCTGCGGAAATTCTATCCGAGCTGGGACAGACCCTGGATTGTCTCTTTCACGGAAAAGACGAGTGATCAATCTACCTAAGATTTTTTCATCGTCAACTAGGGAAAGGATGCAGCGAATGACATTTGAAATGATTCTTGTACTGGAGTGGAACAGCCAATTTGTGGGCGTATTGTGGTTATATTTCAATATGCTCATAAATCGGTCATTCTTGTTTGCCAGTTTCTTCATCAAAATTGGATCCAATCTTTGAAGGACTTCTAGTCTTCTTGTAAACAAAAATCCAAAGTGTTTTTTACTCATTGTTCAACTGTTTTTACTCAGAAAATTACATTGTTTTACTATTTTTAGAATGTTGTTTATTTTAAGTTTTTATTGTTATTTGAGTATAGAATAATGCTGGAGCATAAGTATAAGTAATATTGAGTTGCTAAAATTTGTCCAAGTAAAATTTGTATTAATCTAAGCTTAGCCAGGGGGAGGACACACCCCAAATATTCGGCTTGGGTAGAAATTAAAGTGTTTAGTAAGTTTTATAGGGATTGCACACAACACGTCTCCACTAGTATATGACACGGATATTTATTTTTTTTTGGCTTTTATTTTGGTTAAATGGACTTTTTTTGTGTTGAAAGACATGTGATAAACGACCTAAAAAAAGGACGTTGATAAACAAATCATAAACAATTCTCGTATTAAAGGGTCGAACAAAAACTGACTTCAGCCTGTTAAAAATTATTGTGGACTTTTCACGCTACGACAGAATATTTTTCACATATTCGTTGTTTCATGACTTAGCCATCCGTACAACAATGAACTTGTCGCCACCTGTTAGCTGAAGAGTTTGTAACTTAAAACAATGGACGTTATGTTAAACATATTTTAAAGTTCCCTGACGGTTAGTTGCAATTGATGTAGGTATTTTGTCTATTATTGTGTTTAATAGTGAAAAATAATTGCTATGTTACACGTTTTAAGAAATTTGCAGAAAATTTCCATCACACAAACAATATAGCATACACAATTATTAATTGTGAATTTTAAAACAATCGCCTAACATGCCAAGTTGTATTGTACAGAACTGTGAAGCACTTTCCCAAACGCTTTCTGAACTAAGCTCAAAACGTTATACAAGCATAAATGTTTCACCATGTTTGCTTATTTATTCTCACTGTGTATTCTGCCTTACAGAGTAATCAGTCGATCAACTCTTAGTACCTGCGTTGAGTAAAAATTCCACACAGCCAACATTCTGTCTTCGCTGAACAAACCTCTTCTACTTCTGACTTGTACACAGTATAGTGACCAAACTCTAGCGTTCCATCAAGCGTTTCTATCCATCTACTATTTTTTACCTTTCGATTTTACTTTCGACTAAACACTAACTGTTAGCGAAGTACGTCTGGTATAGCATTCCGAGTGAAGTTGAAGTGAAGATCGTGAAACATGTCCACCATGTTGTAAAACCGAGCAGGCCTCGAAACACTTCTTGCGTGAATACCTGAAAATATTCTTTATTAAAAGGATGCTGGTTATATTGTTTAATTAATTATACCCACATTCATGTAATTTTATCAAAATATATAAAATAAATATCTCTGTAGTATGAATAAACTACAGTAGTGTCGATTATATGAAACAATTGGGGTAAAGGAGTGTTAGGGAATAACCAATTTTTTTGGATAGTCAGACATCAACGTAAAATGGCTGTTAAGAGTCCTTGGAGCATAGACATTATAACTCGTAAAATATTTACAAAACTACAAGGAAAATTTCTGATCCGCAGTGCACTAGATAATTAAATTACAATCAATTCAATTAATTCAAAAAATATTTTTGGGTAATAAATAACCCTTCAACAGCAGTTTGAAATAATCCAAATATGCTATGATACGTTAGCCTCCAAGGAACCTTAAGCTTAATTAGAACCCCTCAAACTTTGGCATAAAGTGTATAATTTAAGCAACAAACAACATTTGAGATGATTGTAATCTGGTATCTGTATTCCTAGATAAAACTACATATTTTCCATATTGTTAAGTTTATGATATACACCGTGTAACAAAAATAACTGAACAATTTTAAATTGTTATATAATACGTCCAGGCATATCTAGTCTACTTTGAAGGTGATCATATGATAACTGAGCTCATGAAGTTTTGTTCAATATCAATTGTAACTATCAGCTGATTCATTGTTGTCGCTTGAAACTTGAAATTTAAAAACATTGCCCTGTCACTAAGCAGGCACCATGAACGCACGAGAGAAAGTGCAATGCGTTGAGTGGTACATTCAAAGTAAGTCAGATATTGCAGTGCAAAGAACATTTAGAAGACGCTATGGTCGACGTCCTCCATCACGGAACAGCATTCGAGCCTGGTATGACAAATTTATGTTAACTGGAAGCTTACAACATTTAAAAGGTAAAGGTAGGCCGAAAATCCAAAATAATTGATTGAAAACGTGCAACAATTATTTCTTCACGACCCTCGAAAGTCAGTTCGCTGTGCAGCATGTGAGTTAAATTTGTCAAAATTATAAGTTTATAAGACAGAGGTTTCCGATGTCCGAGAATTGAGGCAAAGAATAAATGCAGCCTTTACTAACATTACTGACGAAATGCGCCATAGAGTGTGGGCTGAATTGGACAGCCGAATTGACTATCTTTCTGCCAACAATGGCAACCATGTTGAAAATCACTAACACATATGATATCAAACAAAACTTAGGAATATTTGTGTCAGTTAAAATGTAATTAGTTTATCGTGTGATTGTTAATAAACTTTTTATAAGTAAATAAAATTGTTCAGTTTTTTTGGGACACGGTGTATTTTCAGCTTTATTGTTATACTTTCATTGTTCTATACATACAGTATTCTAGTGTCTACTGTTGCTTATATTCTGTAATTATTTTGTTATTTATCGTAATTTAAAGTCCACGTTGTATTCATCTAACATTATTATTACTGTATTATTATTGTTTTCTCAAGAGATGAAAATTAATTAATAATGTATTTAGTAAGAACTACACAATGTCCATTATATTGTAAATGGTATTGACCGTTGATATACAGTAGAACCCCAGTTAACCGAAACGGTTCCATAAAAATACAGGGCTATAATATATAAGTACAATATGTAATATGTAAACAGCGAGGCGTAGTGTCGGGCCCCTGCCTACGTCACGTATCGGTGATGTGCGACGATGACGTGTCCTTTAGATTCACCTTCCCCGTCACCACTCACTACTTCTGGCAATTCCCCATTCCCCGCCATCAGTCACTGTCACAGTTAGTTGTGCTGTTAAGGCGTTGCAGTAGTGAACCAGTTGTGATTAGCAAGTCGGTACTGTTTGCTGCCAGGTGTTTTTATTTGCAGTAGTGTACCGTAAAGTTGTGTCTGTGCAATGGCTTCAAAGCGAAAACGTGTGGTTATTTCTATTGCGGATAGATTGGCTGCTATCAAACAAGTTGAAGAGGGTTGTTCACTAAAGACAGTTGTGGCTAATTACGGAGATGGCGTGTCTACAGTCGACCAGTGAATGGGTTAAATCTAAACCTAGGTTTTTAGGGTAAGCCAAAGCCGTGAAAAATGGTAACAGGAAAACTTTGAAGACGTCAGATTTTAAGAGGGTTAACGAGGCGTTATTCATGTGGTTTAACAAACAAAGGGATAAAAGCATGCCACTAACTGGTCCCTTACTGCGAGAAAAGGCTCAAATGTTAGCAGAGTTGTTAGGTGATGAAGGGAAAAGTTTTTGTGCCAGCTCAGGTTGGTCGGATCGTTTTAAAAAGAGTTAAGGGATCCACCAACTGAACTTGTGTGGTGAGAAGTTATCTGCTGATCTACACGCAGTAGATGTTTTCAAAACAATGTTTGCAGATTACACTCAAGGCTACATTAAAGACCAGATTCACAATGCTGATGAAAAAGGCGTTAATTTTAAGATGTTTACAAACAAATTCCTAGCTTTAGCAACTGAAACAGCTGTCCCGGTCACAACAGGAAAATGGAATGAATAACACTTCACTTAGCTTTAGCTCAGTCAAAGAAAGTGTGCTAAACAGAGGACTCAAATGAATATAAATATTTAAAAGCATCAATTATCAACTATAACAATTATTCTACACAAATTTTACCTGTTTTAGTGAGTCAAGTGCCAAAGTAAACTGCTTGGCGGACTGTAGGACGGTGTGATCGTCGGGGGAAGGTACGGGGCCGAGTGTGGGGCTCACTGCGGGGCATTCTGGCTGGTCGACCTCCGTCCATAGAGCTTCCCAAGAATACTCTCCTAGAATCATAAACTGGTAAAAAAACAGAAAGTGAAAATCCCTGTACTATTTTGAATTATAGTCCAGAATAGTACATAGAGAATTGTGGATTTTTATTTTTCCCTTATTAACTTTATAATTTTTTTAAATTTGTATATGACAGAAATAAACAATTAGTTTTAAAACTCATGATGGACTAAAGTATTAAATACACGGTGGACAATTGCCAGCAAAACAGTTAAAAATTTTCAATAGAACCATTGAACCACATTTGTACTTTGTCTACTCTACTTCCACCTGATTCGTTACTTGGTGAGCTCATTTGAGTTTGAGGTGAAATTTTTGGTCAAAACAGGATATGTATTTGAAATATAATCTAATGTGTTTATTTCTGAGTAAATTTATTTGATATGATTTGAATTCAAGGAAATAGATTTTCCCTACCTCTAACACATTTACAATCCTCAAATATTAAGCAAAGTTTTATTTTTACAGAAACACAGTTTTTTAGAGTTAGCAAGTGTCGATTTGTAACATGCCTATTTTTAAAGTGGATAAATCGAGACCTTTAGTGGTCTGGCGTGAACAAAGGCATAGCCTGGAATCATTAAGGAAGGTTATAGGTTGCCAGCTAAACTACGTCGTAACCATAACAGGTTAAGATAGGTTTAATAAACTGTTGTGTTTGGGAATAAACAAATGTCGAATGTGAGTGTTTGATTCTGTAAATGAGTGAAATAAACCGTGTTTCCCCCGTTTTTTTTTTTTAGGGTGAGGAGGGAAAATGCTTTTACGCACACAGGTAGCCAGCCTGTAGTGTGAGACTCCAGCTATATAGCTTATTGACTTCCCAGCAACGTGTTATCAAGTTACTGTTTGGCTTAGTACATAGGTAATGTTTTTTGCACTGTTGCACCCACACATCGCAGCCGACAATCTGTCTCAAAGACATGAGGAAATGGGGTGTGAGTAATATAAACCAACAACTTGAATTTAAAACTGTGTGAACTGAACCAACATAACCCTAAGTAAACAAGCTCGAGCTTTTGACATTTGTGTTTGCCGAAGATGGTCCAGGGCTAGTGAGTGAGAGCGATGGTTTGCGATCCCCAGACAGGGGGTAGGATTCAGTTCCTCTTCAACACTGACATAGCTCAGTTTTTATCCTTGGCTATTGCAGTAGGCTACTGAGATCATGCTAGTTAGTTCATTGGAACTCCCAATGTCCTATTCAGGATATCCGAAGAAAAATGCCAGGATTTAAAACGGTTATTGCTTTGGTACTATTCATGATAACTAAATGATTTATACGTCAAATTGGAGATGACATAACCAAGTCTTTTTTGTAGTAAGGGGGAAAACGATGGCCTTGGCTTATGAATAAACGATTGTGCGGGGGCATGCCGTCGTTGTAAATCACACGCCTTACACAGTCACCAGTTATGACGTTTACGGCGCAACAGAAGGCACAGTGTGTTCTGTAGTTTGCTGAGTTGAAATAAGTTGGTAGTGTGCAGCGCTGGATTTGAGTTATGTATCGAGGACAGAGGTCACCGAGAGATAAAGGGATTCGCTGGTGGTTTAACCAGATTTGTGACATTGTAAGTGTTCTGAGAGGACACTAACCTGGCTGGCTAAAAACAAGTGATGAAAACATTGAAGAAATCTGACAATCCTCCATTAAAAGCCTAAAAATCCATTGAATGACAAAGCTTTTAGTTAAAAATACCTAAATCAACACTACACAATGTTATTCGTATAAGATTGAGACTTCATGTCTACTAAATTCAGTTAAGACATCAGATTAAATCCTGCCGATCGTCGTAAGCATACAGATTTGGCCAGTTATACATTCAATGACCTTGATGACAATCCAAACTCTTGGTATTTAAAACAACTTTGATCTTTTCCCTTTAATTTGACATTTAAATAGTTGAATCATCTTTAATAGTCCCCAAGCAACAGCCATTTCAAATCCTGCATTCTTTTATGGAGATCCTGTATTTAATAGATATAAGGTAATCAAGTTAATTATTGCCAGGATGTAAAATACTAGTTTTTTAATCAGTTTTACTACTTTTATCTTTTTTACTTCTGTCAATCTAACAGACTTGACAGATCAAGACAAAGCTGAGTTGACCACGGTGGTGTGTAAAACTCAGGCCGAGTCAAAGGTGAGATGGTGGCTCAGTCGGTAGCGCCATGGACTTTAGGTGCAAGGCAGCGATGCCGTGGGTTCAGATCCTGGTACCTGCCACTAATTTTAATAAGTACACTTCACCATTGTACTATACAGGATCACCCCTCGCTTTGCTGGATACGTTCCACACACAACTCTGTAGTGTATGTGGAAGGACAAATGCGTTAAACAATGTGTTAAACCAACACGTGTTAATCCAACCCTTGCAACGTAGAACAAAGGTTAGTTCACAAGTCAGTTTACGCCACACTACACTGTTTTGACGAACATCCCACACATGGATACAGTTAAAACTTAGTCCAGAATACAGCTCTGTTTGCTGCCAGCTTAAATCAAATGGGGTTTCATTACGTACTACTGTATTGTAATGAGTTTTTACTGGACACCAGCCTCTTTTAGAGGTTATGAGTAGTGATTGTTTGTCCATTAGTCGGTGAGAATATAAAAGGATTTGTACAGGTTTTTGCTATGTTCAAGTTGGTTCAGAGTAGTGTACCATAAATACGTCACTAGTCTAAAATGTTTTTACCGGACACGTATGGTAATCCTGCACTCAAATTCGTTTAGAACAAGAACAACCGCACTCGGTAAACACCTATTTTCAGGACTAGTAACGTAATATACTATTTTGTTCCTCTTTTCTCACAGCAGAAAACCTAAGTACTCTTTGACTAATGTCACCTGTTGGGTGTTGATCTTAGTGTAAATGTCCTAAAATTGTGATAATGTTTGAATATACACCTAATAAATCAACTATAGATTTGCTTAGTGTGCAGGTTAGCTGCAACAGGGGTTGTAACTTACCCAGAGTCTTGTACATGAGAGTGAGGAACAAACACATGAGCAGAGGAGAGATGTATTGAAGAGTCACAACACACATGTAATAAAACACTGCTGCTATCTGGAAAAAACATTTTTTTTATCATTGGTTGAAAACTTTCCACTACATTCAAGTATAGATTGTGGCAATTAGGATTGCATGTAGGAGGGTAGTTCGAGAGATAAAGATAACTTCCACCCACCACTCTTCCCCTATTCAGAATACTTTCATTAAAGTATACTTACAGCATTTTTTTAGATGAATGTACAAAAAACAATAGGGATGGTGAGGGGGGAAGTTTTTACAAACACAAGGCACATACCTTTTGTCACTCTAAATTATGTTATCCAAACATTTACCTTCAATGTAAATTTGTGTTATAAATAACTGCATCAAACTAAATATTTACATTGTTTTCAGCAAAGTAATATTTGTATTTATACTGGATTAAAACTTGTATTTATACTTGTAAGAAAATCTATGGGAAGGAAACTGATAACTCTTTAAACCAAATAATTTTCACAAGACAACCTTCAACCTCTATAACCTCTATAACCATTAACTGCTACTCTTGATACAATAACTGTAATAACATAGATGAGAATCTGGAGGATTTACTGTTTTGAATTGAGGCTGAGTTTTAATTTAACAATTTTCCCATAAATATAAAGGGTGTGGCAAAAAAACTTATCTATTTTCTGCAGGGCACTGTTCAGCGACAGGTCGTCTGAAGGCGGTAGGGGGTAGGCTCGTTGGAAAGCCTACACAATGCCATAATCTGCTGTCATATAAGAGTGGTCATCTGAGCAACCTGCGTTTGTTATCAGTCATTTTTAAAAGTAATGATTCAGTCATTGCAACTGAATGCGGCAGTTCCATGCATTCTTTCAATTAGGTAGACATGGAGAGGTTATGTCACAATTATCTGCATGCATAATTAGAAAAATTTTAACAGGTTAATTCAAATTTATCTTTGGGGATGAAAATGATTAAGATCAGCTCAAAATTCATGTAACGGTCAAACATGTTCAAAGCAGCCGCTTGTTTTCGCGCGGACCTACGAGGACTGTTTTCCGCATCAGCACAATCTCTACCTAATGTTTATTTGTCTGGCGTCCGATCTTACTTTGGACGGCCAGTTGGCTACTTTTTCATCACAGAAGCTGGTTTTCTAAAGTTAGTAACCCACCATATAATTGTGCTATGGGACGGAACTTCTTCATGTCAACCTAATTTGAAGAATGCTCGGAACTGCCACTGAGTTGCAATGACTGAATCATTATTTTTTTAAACGACTTGAAGACAAACGCACATTGCTCAGACAACCACTCTTCTGTGACTAGGCCTACAGATAATGGCATTGTGTAGCCTTTCCAACGAGCCTACCCCTACCACCCTCAGATGACTTGTTGCTGAACAGTGCACTGGAAAAAATATCATTTTTTTGCCGCACCCTTTATAAGGCTGTCAAAAAAATTAGGGTCTCCATCCAACTCCTTTCACAGTTAAATGAGTTAGTTCAAATCTGAGAGACTGTAGTGTTCTTTACTTCATCCTTTATGCTTCATATGGAGTGATTAATCTTGTCTTAATAGCTGAAAAGAAGGAAAATCTACACACCCGCCAAGTATGAATTACTTTCTGATTTTAAGTTTCCGAGGGATTGGGTCAACCCACATAGAAATCTGATGCCAATTCACAGCTGTATATGCAGGAAAGAGATTAGCCGTAGGAAATGTGCATTGGTGGCTTAGAGACTTCGCAGAAGGACACACACAACAAAAAGTGGATGACAGGATTTTGTCAGTTTCCATCAAAATTATTAACTATGCTTGCTGATAGGCGGGTTTAAGACTGCTAGGTAGGTGGGTTTACCGTTGCCTTTGATCGTGTTATTGAGATGTACTCTATAACTTCAACTATCTATTGTGCAGTAATACCACAATCTGAATAAAACATTCTCTCAACTTTGGTCAATACCAAACAAGATAATGAGAAAAGCCGAAGCCGGCCTACACCGTGCAAAACGTTGTACACATTGTGCAAATGTTTACCATCACTGCTGAACTGTCTCTACCTCCACAGCTTAATTTACGATGACTGGCAACAGACTTCAATAGCGGTTGACGCCTAAGACCAAGAAAGTTTAATTACAGAACATTGTACTTGGCGGGAGAGTTGAAGTTGTCTCAATCATTTTCAAAACTTTTACAAGACTAATTGTCTCATAAGGGTGGGATCCACTTAGAATGATAGTGGATGAAGGTGTGAAGATGGTTTTGGTCTCATAATGGAACTAGTTGCCTAGGGTGCGACGTGACCTTGATAGAGACCAAGCTTATATCTCTTCTTAATCATAATCTGGTTTAATATACAGACCTTAAATCATACACCAGATTATTTAGCAATAAGGATGAAGAAATGGATACACAGCTTACTCAAAGAGTGTTTCAACATCTGTTAAGTCTAACACTATTGGTCTAATGCTTTTATCAGAGAACAATTTAACACGTTCACTGTATTCTGATTAAAGCACCGTTTAACTATTGTTAGCAACATATTGTTACAAACCAATGTGAGGTTAGCCACTGCCGTGAGACGTTATTTTGCTTGCCGCTTATTGTCCCAATGTTATAATTAGTTTTTTGATCCGACTATTTTATTGGTGGTAGGGACGGTTACAAATTAAAGTGGTTTAAATACCTGTAATGTCGACAATCCCAAGTGGTTGTGAAACAACTAGTTTCGGCTCAAAACGGAGCCATCTTCAGGTTTTCCAAGGACATTATCACTTCTTCCGAATGTCGTCAAAGTTCACAAATAATTTACATACATTCAAAACATTTAAAAACACGTAACACGCATGCCTAGGCCTAGCTTTAACGACGTGACCGGCGGGAGTTTACGTCTAGACTACCGGGCACTATGGTCGGTGCGTCTTATCAGTAACAGGTTGTTTGTGGGTATCATTCTTCTCCCTCTCCCTTTCCATTATTTCTATTGTAGTGTTGGTCACGTCGTTAAAGCCGGCCACTGCGCAGCCGCATTGAATGTGTTAAGCCGCAATACAAGTGGCAAGGGGTGAGTACTACTGAATACCGTCCAGTGCTGCCCCATGCATTCATGGTAAGAATTACTTGTCCAACTACCTGATCTTCATTACCTTCATTATTATGATCTTTTTTGCATACTATCAACTGCGTAACTCTTTCTTAGGCGAGTTTGGTTATGTATCCATTCCTTTATGTATTCCTGAGCAAGTGTTTTCACTGTGTTTTTTTGTCACTGTAAATGTAACGCTGAGAGATAAATATTTCTTACCTTTTTCTATAAATTGCCAAATCATAAAGTATAATTGCAATTGGACTGCCCAAATGAAAAACAATGAAACTTTACCCATTGAGATTAAGGATTACAATACCTTTTTCTGGAGTTCAACGTTAGTGATTCGTCCAGCTTCCTTCTTCTGCTCCTGCACTCGGTGGTAGGCCATGTTGAGATAAGCTTGAAGATAAACAGGCATGACTGCAACTCTGAAATAACCATAATGTGGTTTACATTAAGGAAATTACAAAGGGAGTCTGAAAATTAGGATTTCACCGAGCTCCTTTCGCGATTAAGCGAGTTAGATCAAGGTACCAGTGCTATGTGTACTTCATATACGAACATCCCAGCCATTTTACACTCTTAAGTTGTCTGAAGAGATCATCGCAGAGCGGAGATCACTGGGCATTGATTGCAGAGCCCATTTTCCAAGAACGTGTATATTATGTACAACAGTTGGTTGCTGATTATGCTACTGCAGTGTACAGTCTAACCTTGATATAACGAACCTCGATATAACAAATTCCTTCATATAACAAACTGTACATAACAAACAAACCATATAAACGACCTTCATTTAACAAATTTTGGATGATCCCAGCTAAAATAATACACTTCAATATAACAAATTTATCGTTGTCAGAACCTATACATAGTAAATTTAACCTCTACTTAACAAATTGTCTGCATATTTACCTCGATATAACGAACCCCACCCCCCATTATTGTTTTTGAAAAATCCATTTCGACCATTTCTTTATCAAATTAAATGGAAAGGTGGCGTCTATTGGCATCAACGCTAGCGCTAACATTTTGCTAACAGTCTGCTCCGTTTTAACACATCTCTGTCTGCTGTCGCTGCGTGCTATGTTGCAACTGAGAACTGATTTCATTCACTGAAGGAGCAGGGAGGACTGATGACAACGTAATGTTAAGTAAGCTGTGATTGGGTGATAAGTAACTATGGTGACTTTGACTTGTGAAATTGTTGGATGAAGAGAAACCTAAGAAAGAATAGAAGAACAAAAGCAAAGAGCAACATCGTTATCTAAACAGTCCTTTTACAAGTGTTTTTTTTTATTATCTTTAAGTTTTTTTTTTTTACTATCTACATTAGACCCTCTAACCGAGCCTATTGGGACCAGAGCTCCTGGAAAACTCAAAAGTTCGATTAAAATGAGCAATCCCTAAAGATTAAAAAAAATTAAGTGCTATTCATTTGATATTATATCATCATAATTCTGAAGTTGTGCATACGTTATTTACAGAATAAACTACACTTATCCCCTTTTTTCTTCAGTATTGATGACTGAAAAGTCACAAATAAACCCAAAACACGGTAAAGTCAAATACTTTCAGTGGACTAAATTATATTTGTAGGCAGGAGCCAATAAAAATTGTTATTTTATTACCTTTAGTAATATTAATTTATGCTCCCCAAACCCATCGTAATACAGTACAAACTTTATTGTAGAAATTAAAGATATACAAGCTGCCATTTCATTACGAGACAGGATGTTTATTTATAGCCTGTAAATCCTGTAGAGTTTAGTTTATTCTTCACATCGCTGAGCGTGGGTGGAAATGCCGAGAGTCCTAGAAAGCGGCAGTTAAACCGAACTGCTGCCAAAAAAAGGTCGGTTAATACAAAATGTGAAATAGAAATATTGTTAGCGGGATAATCCGTTTATCGGTTAACTTGATGTCGGTTAAGAGGGGGTCTACTGTATATGTAATTTAAAAGACTACTTAAGTAAAAAGCAATAATCTAAATCCACTCAAGCTTGAGTTAATTTCAGGTATAACTTTCCGTTGTTTGTCGAGTTACACTCACATATATTAAATTGTAATTGAAAGTTCATGTTGCTTTTGTGTGATACAGAGTTTTGGAATTTAAAAGGTTAAATAATGACCGACTTGTAAATTGAGTCCTCAAGATAAAATAAATGTAATCGCTGTTTTTCACTTGCTAACTTAGCTTATGAAAAATATAAACAGAGTATGAATGGTAAAATTGTAAAATAAAATTCCATACACCTTACCTCAGAAGCACTGTAGCAATGACTAGAACCAAACGAAGACTCTCAAAAGTAGGCACGGACATCCTGCAAAGGAAATTTACATAATAGCAAAAAATGTATATTTCATGTAACAATTACTACATCTAACATTAAGACATTTCATTATTTCAAATTATAATGTGTGGATGTGGATATCAGTGACTATTGTGATGATTAGACTTAGGCAGAAAAAGTTGTAAAGTCAATTCACATATAATTCATAGCAAAAACAATTTCCCCCAAGTTAACTCACTCGATGACTAGCAGTTTTTGCTGGAAACATGTTTTGGATACAAATTATGCCCAAAAAACTCATTCAATCTCAACATTGGGAGGGTCGTTTGATCAATTATCGTCTAAGAATCCAAGTAGTTGTAGTACTCACATTCAGTTGGTAACATGCCTATTTTGAAAGGAAAGGGTGGGGTAAAACCAGTCTTTTAGTCACCTGGCGTAATCATAGGCTTAGCCTAGGATCCCTAACTAAGGTTAAGGGTAAGAAGGAAATTAGACTAAGCGTTAACCATCTCTGGTGATAGGTATGATACACTGTTTTGCTTGGTAATAATAAACAAGTGTAGAATAGAAGTAATTTTTTTTATTTGTGTGAAACCTTATACAGTTTTATAGCTTTTTGACTCACCAGCAACGTGCATTATCAAGCTAGGGCCTAACCTAGATTAGTACTTCGATGATATTTTCTACACTTGGTAAGCTCGCGGCCTTAGGATGATAACTCGTTTCAAATACGAGGAAATGTCGAGTGAATTGTATTTACAGACAACTTTAACTTAAAACTCATTGTGGTGTGAACCAAACCAACAATAACCTCAAGTCAACATGCCCGAGCGGCGAGCGTCTGACGATTTGTTATCTGCAGACGACGGCCAGATGGCTGACTTCAGCAACCAGCTGCTTTTGAGCTAACAAATGGCTGTTTATGATCAGCTGAGCACCCTATTTGGCAAGAGAGGAGAACAAGAGGGATGATCCTGAGACGGAGCAAAATCAGTTCCTCAATCTCTTCGAGAATGTACAGTTCCTCACCAGCACCGATCGTGACTAGTTCGCTCTTAAGCCATACATTAGGTGATTTGCTCACCCGTTGATGGGCGATTAGCCTGAAATCATATCACCAGTCAAAACATATTTTTTACCCCTGCAATCAGGCAATATCAAGTGGCAATCTAAAGAGTTTGCTGATCATTCTGAAAATGGAACTTGAAGAGGTAGTTGCTGCTATCCATAACAGTATTAGTTCAGTGTTGTGTAAATGAAAATAAATAAGTAAAAAAAGTTTTGGCACAAAAAGTGGTCTAAAAAAGGCACAAGTTTAGTGACATATCCCCTTTTAGGACAGAAAAAAATCCAGACGATTACAAAAAACTACCGTCACCTCCTAAGTTTAGTAGAGCCTTTCATGAAGGAAGTGACTTGCCTAATGCAGCCAATCAGCGCAAAAGAACGCCTGTAAGTTGTCTACTGGAATTTCTTCACAGAGATGGGAAAAATAATTCCAGAAACTTGTGATGCCATTGTGAATGTGGGCACAAAGCCTTTGAATTGCCGGTGAATTGGTCAATCCACCAGGGAAAATCGAGCAACCAGGAAGTCGCCAGACGATGTCAAATTCACCAGCAATCCGATGGAAACACCCTCATACATTGAGCAATATTTAGACAATATGGTCGCCGACAATAAAATAATCGTCGACAAGCAAGCTAGTTAGATAGCAGGCTTTAGTTATCGTGGTAGTTAGTTCATTGGTGAAGCGTAGTTAACTTGTGTGAACTTCCAATATTATATTGTCAGTCTTACATGGGATAGATGTAAGGTAAGCCAAGTTAATTATTGTCAGGGTAAAAGATACTAGTTGATAAATTGGTTTAATAAACTTGCAAATGTGGGTTTTAATATATTTTATATTTTCACTCCTGTAAAACAAATGGACTCAGGCAACGCTGAGATTATATGATGGTGTGCTAAGCCCATAATGAGTCGATATTTGAGGCCAATTTACTTTTTTCCATTTTAATAAGACCAACACAATTTTATCTAATCAAGAAACTGTTTTAATAGTAGGCTGTAATATCTACTATGGTTAGTTGTGGGAGGCAAGCATGTCCCGATGGCACGTGTGGCGTTCTTGGCACTGGCCTTAGGCCAGAGTTTATTCAGTGTTTAATGGTAATGAAACCAAGAGTTAGCCATAGTGCTTTGCAATTCATGAAAACCAGAAGAAGATAAGTTGTTGTAGCCTTGACTACTTGTTGAGATAATAGTGGAGTTTGATTGCTCTGTTGGAATGATCTCCAACTATAGCTAATCAAGTTAAGTAGCAAGGCATTTTATTTTGGATCTTTCTCTCTGGCATTTAAGTTAGAGCCATGGGAGAGATGATTTATGCTTAACCTAACTAACCATATGAATTTTTATTTCATTTCTTATGATTTGTGTTGATGTTTTATGTTTATGAAGAGATTATTTTGGTAAGGGAGTGGAAAATGGAGGCTTTAGTAAATGACCTATGGTTTGAACCATGTACCGTGTGATGAACCCGAGGGACTGACAAGTCAGGCGTGTCATCAGCAGCTGCAGTAGCTTGTGGAACCTACCTGAAGTATCGATCGACAACAATGGACAGTCGACTCAACAACTCTTCAACAACTAAGTTTGAGTGTTGAACCAATCTATTGCGACAGAAGATTGACGGAGATAAATCAGCGAGCTTACCACACTTCTGGGATTGAATGATATTAACCAGAGGAACACACATCGTACTGTGGCCAGCTTTGGCTTTTCGACTGATTAAGCAGCAACAGTTGTTAAATCATAAAACAAACAATGGAGAACCAGTGTATGAACCAGTGAAGACCAGATTAGGTCAGATGAGCCCTAGCCTACTGCAAGGCAGGAGGGGCGGAATGAACCTCAGCATGTAACTGAGACAGGTCAGTTTACATGAACCCCAAGCTACAGTGGCAGTCGAAGAAAGGAGAACCCTTAGATTACTGTAATGAAATGTGTCTGTGTGATAAACCAGATTCCCCTTGTCCCACATGCAAGGAGCATGTAGAGAACATTGGGGATGGGGATTGCAACTAGAGTCAATGGACAGCCATCACGTGGCTTACTGTGGTGGAAGGGGCAGTGGCATTCCTAGAACAATGGCGGAGACCAATGGAGCTGATAACTCCCGGTTGTAATCACGACTGTAACTTGTGCCGTACTTTTCCATACTGTAAGATAAAACACCAGTTTAATAAGCCACGTTCAAGTACCACATGCTATACTGCGCTAAGATTCTGGATAGGCCTCAGTTCAGAGTTCTGGGTTGGCCTTACAGGGTTCGCGAATGGATTTTATTTTGCACACGCAGATGTCCCCATGGTCTGGATCAATATCAATTCTCACGGACCCGTCACTGCCCCATCCACCGCAGTGAGACTTGGTGGCCTTCCATGGACATTAGTCGCAATCCCAAACGCTCTGACTTTTTGTATCGACTAGAGGTTATGTTGTGTTTGAATCCCGCAACAATTAGTTTTAAGTTCAAGTTGTCAGTCTATATTACTCACACCATTTCCTTGCGTCTATGAGACATATTATTGTTTATCAAGTGTATAAAGTGTCGTCAAAGTACTAAGCCGGGTTAAGCCCTAGCTTTCGAACGTACATTGATGGTGATTTAATAAGCTATAAAACTCTGTATAAGGTTTATTTCACGCTAACACAGAATTAATAACTCCCATTCTACACTTTTTATTACCAAACCGAACAGTCTATTTTGTCAGATCATAAACAGTGATGTTACAACTAAGGTAAGTTTCCTAACCTCTAAACTTTCTTAAGACTCGTAGGCCATGTCAATGGTTAAGCCAGACAATTAAAGGTCTAGTTTTACCCCTTTCCCCTCAAAATAAGTATCTGCACATTACACATTACACTGTCTAAACAACTCCCTGGCCACCACATTATACCTGAAGAAAACTCTTCCTTAGTTGAAAATACTGTCAATGACAGTGAAATATTCTAATGTTTTGTGTATAGTAAAGTTTTGTGTCTCTTGAGTCAGTTTGGAATCTTTCTAATTCAGATAAGCCTGCTATCCTCCCAAAAATCCTATCGAACAAATTATTCATCAAATAATCCCCCATACCCTCGGATAATGGACTCTATCTGTCGTTAAACTTACAGTGGGGCAGTCATGCCTGTGAAGACTCGATGGGTAAAGTACTCCTTCGTTACTGGAGGAATCCACATCAGGACCAGGAAAAGAGGAGCGATGAAGCTGATATTGAGCAATATCCATAGCAGCCTTCGTTCACCACAGTACCTGCAACATCAATAGAGTTGGCACTAGAGTTTAAGCAGCAGAAAACAAAACAGATTAGCATTGTCTGTTAAGCCTTAAACCATTGACCACCTCCCCCTCAGCTGATTCATGAACCAAAATTGGCTGAGGTGGAAAATTGGGATGAAAATTCGGTCTCACTTGGCCAACAAAATTCAAGTAAGTTACTACTCCACCGAACTTCTGATGCTATTCTTCCATTTACCTTTGGTCTACGAGGATTTATGTATCTGAAGGTTCCTGTTCCAGCTGTTTGAGTGGTCTGGCCAACTACAAGACAACTTCTAGTCCCATCGTCTGTGACTTACTGCAGAATAGGTGTCCCTAGTCTACCTGGTACTCTACCCAACTCCGGGACTGGGCTAGTGAACTGGACCACATCCACTATGCCCTACTATACTTTGCAGCGGATCTCTACACAAGCCAATAAATCCAAGGCTAGCCTTGTATTGTATTGTATTGAGAGAGGGGTGGACTCAGGGTCCTAGCACATCAACCGAAGCTTATTGTGCATCCCCACTTGCCATACCCCCATCCGTGTCCTTGACTAGGTGCAGGAGCTTTTGCCCAATGTTAGCGTCTGATTCATCACCTGGCTGCTTTATACCAAACAGGGCCCTTCTCCTAGCCCCAAGACTGTCGCAGTCAAGGCTAGACAAAACAACTTAACTTTAACTTCAGTTCAACACTCAACCAAATTAATTTTCAGGATTTAGCCAAATCAATCATTTCTCTCAAAATTGATTTTTGTGTGCTCATGAGCAAGGACTTAAAGGTTAATCTAATTCAAAATTTAACGAGACGTTCTACAGAGCTTTATATTGACTAACCAAGTGCCAAGTGAGCTAAGCAACAACCGATGCTATGATGGGCATAGCAACTAGGGGGGTGAACCTGACTTCAGACGTGAGACCCTAAATTAGACCCTGGCCTAGACATAGGACATTTCGTTAGTTGATAATTAATCCAATGTATTTGGGATTGTAGCCTATTTTGTTGTATTGTATCCTTGATATATTTTCTTGGGTTCATAATGTTTACTAAAATGGCATAGTTTAATTGATGTTATAAGCACAGCTGTTCATTAATTGTTGCTTTACTTATAGTACAACAACGAAAGAAAATCGGGGTGGTCTTGTTGCCTCTCCCAGTATAATATATGAGGCAGTCTTAAAAATCTGTGAGATTTGATCGACAACTGATAACTCTAGGGGAAGGAGAGGAGGAAGGTATGGCATCAGTCTAGTCCTACACCATGTGCCTTTGTGCTGTAATGAGAAGTTGTATGGCCATGCATTAATTTATCATATTTGATTTTGTTTGTGTGTAACTGTATTTCACCTTGTAAATGATACCTGGCAGATTACCTGGGCAGAAAAAGGTAACTTAACCTCTTGTAGATAATTTGTGAAGTATTCCTGAAGGCAATATACAAAATATACTCTGAACTATACAAATTTTTGATTACAAAGATTTTTATTACTATTTGTAGATTGTAGGCATATCACATGTCAAACTTCATACATAATAACCATACCTGAGGGAGTCCCAGTGCATTCTAGCCACCCTCAAACCAGGGAAGGTAAAGAGAGCGCCAGTAAGAGCACACCATACAGCCAGACATAGCTTTAACATCAACTTGGAGGCTGGACCCCTGCAAACAACAGAGTTCAAGTATAGAAGGGTTCCAAAATTCCCTCACCGCAACAAACCTGCAGACTAAGTGAATTTGCATTATTGCTTGGATGGATTATCACTATAAATTTCCTTACATGTCAAATTTATTTCTTATTTGAGTAAGATTGAGTAAGATGAGGATGTAGGTTTGCTGCTACAGGGAAGGTAATAAAGTGTGTTTTTTTATGAAATGCAATAGCTTAGTATAAAAAAGATAAATTTGATAAATTAAATCAAAATGTATCTATAAGCAAACAAAATACAAGAGTTTATTTAGGCCTATTGATAAGAATAACATAAGAATTTTAAATTTACAGTCTTTTTTAATTTTACCCATTACCATTAGACGTACAACAGTGCTTCAATGTACTAAATTGTTTGCTTTTTAAGCTCTAGAAAATAGTTTGGAAATGTTTGGGGTGGGGGGAAATGGGTAAAACCAACCATTACCCCATAAAACCCCTCGTAAAATCCCCTTCCTATAGTCCGAGCATTCTGCTTTGTGAACTTTTTTGAATAGACATAAGTTTACTGCCAATTTCATCAAAATCGGATGTTTTTACCCAAGTTATCGTGCCATCAGACACAACACTGAAACTTCAGCTGATATATGAATTTGAACTGATGGTGTTTTTGGCATCTGGGGACAAAAAAAAAAAACGTAAATCAGTCCCGGGCCTAGGTCTTACCATGAGACCTACGGTAATAGTTCACTCCCTACATGGTAAATTCGCTAAAAAATATTAACTTTGACTGATATTAGCGTAATGTTTTTTGTAAGCCTGTAGTATGTTTTTGGAACATGGTAAATATGTATTAACGGGTTTGATTTTCAGGTTGTTTAAATACCTAGGGGGGTTTAGTACTTTTATCAGAATCCTTGTGTTTTTATTAAATTTCTTTCATGGGTCAGTAATAGAGAATGAGCAAATAGTAAGCAAAGCAATTGGTGTCATTAAAAGACTTTTATTTCAGCTTATCACAAATTACTCAACCACAAATCAACCAGAAATTAGCTCATCACCTTTGACTCAAAACAATCAGGCGAACAACTCATCTAATACATGGTTATACATCTAATGGCTGGCAAAAAAGGATGAGTTAAAATTCTCGAAGACAATGGTAATGTCAAATAAGCGAAATCATAGTAAGTGTAACCTAGACGTACATTATTGGTAAAAATGAATTATGACATGTGAACATATTGGTAATTTAGATAGTAAATAGAATTAATAATATTCACTACATGCACAGCACTGCACAAAAATTGTGTTGCTAAGGAAGAATATGGATTATCATTATAATGTAGGGTTGGATAGAAACTCAGAATGACAATACACACATTATCTAGCTTTCTAGATTTGATTTTCAAAATAATAGGTTGAGTGCCAATATTTATTCCTTAAATTATTTTTTAACTTGTCACTGGAAAAGTATTATTTTGGAATATTGCCACACCACCAATTTGATTAAAATATCATGTTGTATTTTAACACTGGATACCTAACTGTTATAAAGGATTTATTTGTTTAAGTATTTTTTTGGGCTAAGTAGCCATTCTTTAGTTGTAATAACCTGAAGGGACAAATCTGTTAATGTGTAAGAATTAGAAGACAATAGAGACCGAAGCTACGAAGAACAAAGGTCAAGACTGGATACAATACGTCCGAGATAAGAGCGAACAGTCTTCAGCAGTCCACAGGTGAGGCATGTTCATTGCTAGTACGTTTCTGCCCACATTTATAATAAGTTTTGCCTTAAGCATAGTCTCACGGGTTAAATATATGTTTAACTAGATTATCAAGTTACAACACTAACAATATACTGAAACTGCAGCCACCCTACAACAAGCTTAAAGAGTTTAGAACCAAAAATGTAGGTATGAATCTTAAAATTCAAAAATATCCAATATGTGATCAAAAAAGATGTAAGTAGACTTTTCTAACTTGAGTTTTAATTCCTGACAAGATGCTGAGCAAAGATTTGCCATCATGTGTTTCCAAACTAGGAAACGTAAAAATTAAATATTCTGTACCAATGCCTAGTATTTTGAAATTTCTAGTATTTAAGTGCCCCACGGAAACACGGATAAGGTCACAAGCACATAAACCCTTTAATGAAAAGGTTTTGTCTTGAATCAAAATAGTATATATTGTTTCCTATTTGGTCAACATAATTTCCCAACCAAGCTATATGATTGTTAAAACTATCAACGCCTTGAGGTTTTCCTATAAAATAAATAAGATATGCAAGTTATAGGTGAAGGGCACACACAGCTTACTGTGAATCCAGTCCATGGTTGTCCAGAAACTCGGCAGCGCTCTGGTTGAAGCTGGCGTACGCAGTCTCTAGGCCAGACTCTAGGTTGCGTTCATCCACTATCAGAATCATCTGTGACGGAAGAAACAAATGTAAAATATGTTGATGAAACAGACTAAGCAAGAGGGTATAGTGCTTGCCTAACAATCATATGTTTGCTGGTTTGATCTTCAACTTTAAGCCTCCACACACTGTCAAACATCCCGCCGGACCTAACCTGGTGACGGACCCAGCATCCAACCTGATGTCGGGTGTTTCCCACACACTGTCGAGCATAATGCCAAACAAGTCGGGTATTGTATCAGTTTTGAGATGTGATTCGAGACGACTGTAGCTGTTTGTGCTGGATTTTTGTGTTTGAAACATAAAAAGAAGAGAAATAAGCGGTGTTGGTCAAAGCAGTCAGTGGTTGTTAGAGGGAAACAAGTTTAGCCACATTACGCTCCTAAGATATCGTATCTCTCTTTACACGCATGTTTGTTACGATAGAGTTTACTTTCGACGTCCCTAAACGCCTTTTGGTCTCTGTACAGTTCAACGAACTCTGACCAGAATTTTGTATTATCATCAAATGACATTATGGAAAACAAAAGTGTTTACAAGTCACTTGGGGCAGGGCAATAACTTCACAACACAGCTCACTCTAACGAATATAAGCCACAACACAACTGCAAACTGTGGCTAGTCAGGCGAGCGGCTCTACAGTTTCCCACACACATTCCAACATGTCAGGCAGACGGCTTGAGTTAGGTGGTGCTACCAAACCGAGCATATGACCTGACATATCCGTCGAGCATGTCGGGTTGGAACTCACAGACTGTCGAATATGTTCAACAAGACGTTGGATCCTGACATGCTTGACCAACATGTTGGATAGTGTGTGGGGGGCTTTAGGACCCACTATCCCTGTCCCCCTCTCCCTATAAACTATTTGTGCAGCTGTCAACTTGTTTCCTGGACATGAAATTAATCTGCTATTGTTTTTCTATGATTGGTGTGATTACTGTATGATTCTGAAATTTATTTTAGTTTAGTTTCCATTGCTGTAAATTGTAGGATAGTTTTTAAGTAGTGAGTGTAAATACTAAAACAGTATGTCACCCAAACGATCCTAAAATACTTCTTCATACTACATAAGTGAACACATATAACTGTCTTTATATGAGAAAATTAGATTGCAGGTTATAATCAATAACCCATAAAAGTACTGAGGGCAAACAATAAACTGAGGCTCAGGTTCTTTAGTGATTGTTGAGACCATGTGAATCATTGAGGCTAAAAGAACTACAGTAGAACGTCGATTATCCGAATTAATGGGGATTGGGGTTGTTCGGATAACTGATTTTTCGGATAATCGGTCATTGACGGGAAAAATACGGGGAACGGGAAAGGATAGCGGCTGGCGGCAATTTGCCGATTTCGCGTCTGTGGATACAGTACAATAATATAAATTTGATTAATTATAGAGATGTGCGAGTACTTGAGATTTCGAGTTCGAGTCGAGTACGGCCTTGAAACTCAAGCTTATTTTTTAACTCGGCAGTTTCGAGTCAAGTTTGGTTTAAATTGGTAAAAAAACAATATTTGTTAAAATGTAACTTGTGTTTACATGAAATACTGGATACTATTTACAACTGTAGATTCTACAGTAATACAAATATTTTTACAGTGTAGAAATAAGCAAGAGGTAGTTGTCCTAACCTATTTTTTTAGCTGTTACAACAGAATAGGTCAACTCAAAGCAGTCGCCGGCGACTGACTGGCAATGAAAAACAATAGAAGGGAGGGAGGGGTTGTGCAATGACCTCGAAGTGAGCGGGCGTAACAACAGTGAATAAAGTAGGGGTTTGGGGGGGAAGGGGGAGGGTCAGACCTTTGAGCTATATTTAGACTTTCACCACTTAGCAGCCGTGCGGTGGCGTAGCGCTACGTCCAGTCGTGATTGGCGCGCGATTTTATTGATTTTTTCTTCTTTCTTCCTTTTGGTTAACCGACGTTTCGGATGACCGGGCTTCGGATAATCGACGTTCTACTGTAGGTGAATCCTAAAACTACCAGGTGAATAATTGGTTGTCACATCGTTAGTATGTGTCACATTGAGAAAAAGTAAGTTAAAGAAATTGCTTAATTTGTTGAAAGCTTCGGCCTGTCAGTAATATTTTACAATAAACTGACTAAAGTAATGCAAATTACAGTTTGTTGGGTTTACACGGGTTTCATGGACAATATTTCTTTTAACTTCAAACTTGGCATAATTGATAATGCAGTCAATAACAGTAAGATATCTGAAATAAGTACGTACCTAGAAGTTTGCCACTACCCGTTAGCCTTAACCAATCTAGCCTACTATCCATACGTAAACCTTAGTGCCCTTAATCAACCATTGCTCTAATACAAACTTAGGCTATTAAAAATTCAACAAAAATTCTGAGAGAATAAAATTACCATAATCCACTTAATGAAAAATACATACATTTTTTACTTATAGCTTACCATGGATACCAGCAGGTATGCAAATGCTGTAACAATCACCGTAGATCTTTCCCCAACACTTTCAGAACCTTGGAAGTACTGCACAGTTAGAATGAGAAGACTCTTACTGTGAAATGTTAAGGAAAACTAAAGGCACACACTGTTAACTGTAAAAATAAGAGGAATTTCTAACATTTTAGATGATAAAGTAATGTAAACTTTAAAGCTTCTGTAGTTCAATATCTGGTAAGTTTTACTCTTTGCAGTTTTACTCTTAGTACCTTGAGTAGAGCATCCAAAATCCAAACTTTTGGGCCAGTAGGTAGTTTAGATTATTGATTTGTTTGGATTTTCAAACATAACCTAGAAATGCCTAATAGACACATAATTAGGCCTACGGTATTAAAAATATTGTTCTAGGATACAGTAGTTTGTTTCTTGAAAAAATATGTAGAGTTTATACATTGGAAACAAACAAAACACTGACTGGCTTGGCACATTTCCCTGCCAGGCATCGACTGTTTGGCCCGCGAAATTGTAAAACATCTGTTGTCTCTGTGCTAATTCAATATTTTAAAACCCTCAGGAGCGGTTAGGATTTTTGACGTTCAGATTTTCGACGTTCGGATTTTTGATGCTCTACTGTAGTAGCTATAAGATATATTTATTTATTATTTGTTAGGTATTTTATTCAAGAACATTCATCAAAACTATCACTTTCCTTGACTCCACTTGCAACTATTTGTCGCTCCACAAAGTGTCCCTCATATTACAGCGTGCCGCAGAAACAAGTGTCGCACGGAAATGGAACCTGTCCTATTTTTGCGCCACACATGGCCACCCTAAGGCAGGGTTCACACGAGCTACATAACTAAAATTGACTAGCATTCCCGCCACCTGGTGACACAACAGTTCACACGAGCGACGAGTCCACCGACTAGATGGCAGGCCAACTTATGACAGGTAATTGAATGAGCATCAATAAACAGTTTTCAATGTTTTTTTATTTTAACTAAATTTGCATTAGAATAATGAAACTAAAGTAAGAAACCACCAATTAAACTATTGTAATAGTTTTGTTCTAAAAACCCTTTTGGTTAAAGGGATATAGGGCAATTTAAAATTATTTTTATTTTTTTAAACCTATCACTCGTTTATCAACTGATATTTTGTTTGTAATGTTGGACTTTAATACAGTTTTCCAAAAAGCTGTATGCTATTCAGACCATTGCTACTTTCCTTTTAATTAAAAACGTTATTTTAAAATTACTATGGGCTAATGAAGACCAAACAAAATATTAGATTGTTTCAATTAAATAATTATGTCGGACTGAGATACAGAGGTATAACTTAACTAAATGAAAAGTATATATTTATTAATAAAAGGTTAAATACCTGTAGTACTTGTCCGTGATCCTGTGTTTTAGGTCAGCGACCCAGGTTTCGAACCTAAAGGTTCATTTTCAAGCTGATACCATGGTTAAACTCCTTCTAAACACATAAATCCTCTTCATAACTGTGAAGAGTCGTTGAAGACACAAACATTTAACAAAATTGGCCAATTAAAATAATACTGGTACGGTAGCGTGCGTGGTGTAGCCGGCAAAAGATGAGTCATGACTGGGTACGCATACGCGTCGATGTCGGAGCGTGACGTATGTGCCCCCTCCCACTCCCGTTGTCGTCAGATCCTCGCATTACATTGACGCTGCCATCTATTATATCTATTGCTGTATTGTAGATTAAATTTGACTCGAAGGATAATTTAACATTGAGCAAATGGGTAGGACTGTTTTTAGATGATCGGTATATTTCGAACTCTTTGATGGTGTTCATATGCTTGCCTTTTCTGCAATAATGCAATACAGTAGACTCCCTCTAGTTCGGCCACCTCGGGACCGGACCACTGCCCGGACTACAAAATGGCCGCACTAACAGGATGCAGTACATTTTACATAATCAAAATACAAATAATAGTATTGCGCAATCGTGATATGTCAAGTCATTAACCTTGGTTCAGTAATAAAAACTGTGACGTTTAAAATCACGCTTACTCAAGCAAAACAAAAATTACACAACACTGTACGTACAGCAATAAATCACGTAAAGAACATAACAATAGAAAGTCTAGTACTGCAAGCTACTGCTACCGTAGTCAGCATAGGCTACTACTACATGTTGTTTTAGAACATAAGAATGTTGATAAAAACATCAGATAACTCATAAAACAGCATAAAATCATAGTACCTACTTAGTCTTAAAGATAATAACGACAGTCGTAAAATAGGATAAAGATAACAATGGATGACGTAAAACACCGCTTATTCTTTCTTCTTTGTTCTTCTATTCTGTCTTTGGTTTATCTTCATCCACACATTCAACAAGTTGCCATGGTTACTAATCAGTAATCACCCAATCACAAATTGTTGTGAGGAGATAGCAAGCGCACAGCAGACATCAGTTGTGTAAAGAGCAGACGATTGTCAGTGCAAGCGGATAGCTTGACCTTGAAGCTAACAATGACTTTTTATTTGTTTTGCTTTAATTTATTTTTGTCAAATAAACCGTCGTGTTTCAAAAACAATAATGGGGGAACCTACCACATTAAAAATTGGTCAGAAATATTTAATTATACACTGCATTTCAACATATTAGACTGAAGAAAAACTATTTATAAAATTTTCTTGGTATTTTTGAGGTTATGTAACATAGTTTTACATGGGTAATATGCAACAATTCGCCCATAGAAGCACCCGTCAACTAAACTGACATGTATTGTTTACTTCAATGGCCGGAAACTAAACATTCAAGTTGAATCCTGTTGAAGGCCATTCGCCCGTGACGATATGACTTGTCCCCCTGAGACCGGGCCGAACCATCCGGCGGCCGATCCAACCGAAGCCGAACTAGAGGGAGTCTACTGTATGTCCAGGTTGGTATTAATGTCGGTGTAATTATGGTTTGTGTCTATCAAATGATTTGCGAAGGCAGATTTAGTAGATTTTTAGGCAGGTGTTCTTTAAATCTTTGCGTAAACGAGCGAGCTGTTTGTCCAATGTAGTAACTGGGACAGTTATTGTATTTAATTTTATAAATTCCTGTCTTATCAAAATTAGCAGTGTTTTGTACAATTCGTGGTTTTAGGAGATAAGATAGTTTATTTGATGTTTTAAATGACATTTTAAAATTGTTTTTAGTCATTTCAGATTTAAGGCTATTGTTGAAAACTGTATATATTTATTGTGATTTCATTTATTTTATTAATAAAATATCAGTGGTGTACATGGAAATGAAATGGCTTCTTTTTAACTTAGGCTGAATCATATTAAAGTTATATAGTTCTGTGGTATAAATTATTACATTTATACTTGTTTATAGGACCTGTGAGTATAAATATATGCGCAACTCTGCTAAACAGAAAACAAAATATAACTACAAATCAGGAAATCACAAAAGCCTACTTTTAAAGTTTTATCCAAGCCTAATTTTTAATTAGCCTAGTGAAATATTACTTTACAGCCTAATTACCAAATTATCATGAATCTATAGCAAGATAATTTAATAAATATGTCTAAGTTTAACTTGCTCTAATCAAGAGGACAATATATTATAAGGTCAAGAAGTTACAACAAATGTGGTTAATTTGAAAGGGAAAATTGTACTTGTTGTATCTAGATCTGAAACTGAATCAATTCTTAAACTTAAATAATTCTTGGGTCAGTTAGGAAATATTAAATATTATCTTGTGGAATAACTTCTGTTGTTGGACAGTCCCTTTGTTATCTTGCTATATCAACTGAAATACTTAATCTCTGATAATACATTCCTTGCTTATTCATTCAGTGTTAATTATTTAGTTCCCTATGACCTAGATAGTTGCTTCACACATTCTTAGAAAATATAACTCTACTTTTCTCAATTTTCACAAATCAATACAAAGTTTTTTAGATTAAAAATTGGACTATACTGCAATATTTATTAGTTTGTGTTACATGTATGCAAATTTTTGTCTCCTATTTGGAATGGTCGAGGTTCAATTTAAATTATAAAATATTCCCTGAATATCAGCTACGGGTTCAACAACTTAAGAGTGGAGTTTGACCCTCGCTTCGACTCCAGGACTTCTCCTTTAGCGAGGAGGCGCCCTCAAACCTTGACCAAGAGGAATAGTAGGCCTAGAATTGACTATTAAAAAATTGCAGGACCACTCCCATCACTGAGTTAGCGGGTAAAATTGTCGCAATTGTTAGTAGTACATTGAATGTTATTGTCACGAGCATGCAGATATTGACTTGACGTTAGTGGCCGAGTGATAAAGACGTTATAATTGTCAAGCTACTATGTCAGCCACACTGTTTTAGGCCCTCTGTGCTGAATAATTGGTTAGTGAGGACAAAACTTAAGTTGCTAAGTACAAAGACCTGGTGAGAATCGGCGTAGGTTTGGTGATGATTCGTACACGATTGTTTGGTGATTTGTCTTGACTTGTTCACAATGCCCGTGTATGAGCCAGTACTACACTGGTTAATTATAGCAAATTCCCTTATCAGCCTTATAGCAGACCCTGCGATTAAACCTAGCCATTGTAAGCTATCCTGACTACATCTGTGAATATTTTACCCCTCAAGTACACATAATGTGAAGTTAAGTCAAAGGTGTCATCAAAGATCACACAAAAACCGTAGACACACGACACACTCATGAAATAATAGGCATTGAATTTGTGGTGATGTGGAGTAGTATGAGTGTAAATGAAGATACCTGGGCGCTATATACCTTCCTCTAACCACTACCAAATCACACACATTTCCTTTCGTTGCTCAACTCTACTGCAAAGAAACTAACTAGTAACTACCTCGTCAAAGTGCACAATATTACCTTAGCTGCATATCACAGCCAGCTTTTATGTTATTTAATATATCTAATATAGTGAACAGAGAAATAATTATATATCTGGACTTATTCTGATTCGTCAAAAGTAACTAGATTTAGCAAATGTGAATTCTAAATTTGGGATATTGATTACCAGACCACGACCATTGGTGAACCTAATAAATTATATAATTAAAATAAGGGTGTAGCATAGAGCACAAGGGCCTAGATTTTTTCAGATTTTTTGAGAGGATAGCAGGCTTACCTGAATGGGAAAGAGTCCAAACTGGCACAGGAACACAAAACTTTACACTATATACACAAAACATTAGAATATTTCACTGTCACTGACAGCATTTTCAACTAAGGAAGAGAGAGTTTTCCTTAGTAAAAAGTAAATCTCTCTCTTCCTTAGTTGAAAATGCTGTCAGTGACAGTGAAATATTCTAATTTTTTGTGTATATAGTATAAAGTTTTGTGTTCCTGTGCCAGTTTGGACTCTTTCCCATTCAGGTAAGCCTGCTATCCTCTCAAAAAATCCTAAATAATTAAAATAAGATTGCTCTTGCCTACACCCTTCCCCAACCCCTAACTAATTATCTACTCATAGTCTTAATGCTACTACTTATCCGAATACTGAAGGTCCTTCCGACGACCACACGGCACTACTACTGTACTCTACTCTCGCCACGCGTGCTTGCCTCGGGGATACTGCGCGGGCACCTAACTGTGTCACGTGACTTGCGCTATTGTCTTGTGGCGAGTCGCTACAAATTGAAACATAACAAGCTTGTTTTGAAACGTTTGCTGTGGCTGCGTGATGGTCGGCTGATGCCGAGAGCATGGACAGCTAATGCACGAAAATGGATAAGTGTGCGAAAATGTTTGAATTTAGTTTCATCCAATAGGAGAGGCATATTATAGCATGTACTGTGTCCCAATCGTTGTGGACATAGTTTTACAAGTACCCAATTGATAGCAGCACTAAACGAAACTGTTAGCCGGCCCTCAGTATTGCCAAGTGGATGGAAAAGGCAAGGGCAACGTAACCGAATACACCATAAAAAATATCAAAAAAAGGGGTCAAGCACAATTTTGAGGTTAGGTTTCTTCCAAAATGCTACATTACATTCATTATCGTTATTCTATTCCATGTCATTCAATCCAAGCCTAAACCCAAACTACGATAAATTTGTAACAGTGTCTATCACCGTCGTATCTGAAAACGAATTATACCAGATTGAAGTATAAAACTGGCACAATAAGCAGCAAGCGAAACAACGTCCCACGGCAGTGGTTAACCTCATGTTGGAACAATAGTTTGTAAACGGCGCTTTGACGAGTATACTAGTCACATGCCACTGAAAAGCGCTACTGGTGACGAGATTACTCGCCATGCGCAGCCAACAAAGATCGCGACACAACGCAAGTTGGAGACAGACTGTTGATAGCATTAACTATTTAGAGCTGATGGACAGTTAGTTGTTGACTAGTATATCTTACATTACCTCACATTAGCTCGAGGGCTAAGGCATGATATAAAGGATACAATGCAAAGAACAGTACTAGCAGGCACCACAACATACTTAGATTCACTTCTTCTTTGAGGGGCAAGTAAAATGTGTAAACCTGAAACAAACAAACACATACGATTAATTTTTCAGGAAATTCTGTATTGTAAACATTAATACACTTCCTCTATAAGCTTCCTTAGTTGGTGTGTGAAGAGCTTGATGAATTTAAGTTTAAACTAGTGTACCTGTTGCTTGGATTCGAGCAATTGCGAAGTATTACAGGTGTTATAATCAAAATTTCTTGTAAGTATCTTTCATTTTTCAAAAGCTGATGTTTCCCACCCATAGCCCCATTAGGTTGTACATAATAGCGATTATAAATTCTAAAAAAAAACACATTATTTCTATTTTTTCTACTTGGTGGTGTTCTATGACTTTCCTATGTTTCCATAGTTTGCAAATCGGCTCTTTCAATGATTTATCAAAAGATGCAGCACAGTGTTAATTTGGTTTTCTTTTCAGTATACATCAAATTGTCCAGGATTTCTCACTTTTTTCCATTGTAATATTTACGCCAAATCAAATTCAAATAGTAAATAGTTAATTTCAACCAAGTCGTAAATGTTTGCAGGACGCATTTCCTTAAATTGCAACTAAAATATTAATAGCAATTAAATTATCCAGCTGATCATAATGAAAACAAATATGTTCTTCATAAGGATAACAAAGGAACTTTAAAAACCACTGGGGCAGAGCCCAAGGGACTTTAAAAAAAAATTAAGGTCAGTTTGCAAATCTACACACCTAGACGAACATTTTGGTATATAATATGTGGGGTTAAATCTTAAAACAAAAAAGCCTTATCGTTCACAAAGTTTCATGTAGCGTACGAATAATATAGATTAACAGTAACGCTATGTTAATGGTAATGTAGTAAGGCTTTGAATTGTGGGCAGCTGTTTAGGGTATAGATGGGAGATACCATTACTTTGCAGTAATAGTCAGGAAAATTTTTTAGCTTTTAGAATTTGAGTGTTTTGTGATAGGAGTCTCGTGTTTTTCTGTTTGTAGTTTGTGTTCGTGTTCAAGCCTAGATCATCGGTCCTTACAATGATAAGCAGAACACACACACCATTATGCTATACTTGGTTAATTGTCGGTTAAACAGCTTTTTGTGACTTTGTGTAATACAATTATAGGTAGATTGAATCATTTAGAGTAGCAAGCGGGTGTTGCATGCACATTGAAATCCTTCCATCAATATTGCTTTGTCATCTCAAAATGTTTGTTGGATCTCATTTAACATACATATATTGTCTTGAGGAAGAATGGTGGAAGTTTTCTGTATCTCTCGCACTACTGTCCCAACACAATACCATAATTGGCAAAATCTATGGGCCAAATTTGATTTTGGCTTTTTTGCCTTGGTATTAACAAATTGGTCTAATTATTAGGATAGTACTGCGGATAGTCGTAGTACTCACTAGTGTGGACGTTAATCCACACAAGGGAGTATCCCATCCAAAGTGTATGCCTAAAAATATCTAAAATTCATGACCACCTAGAATCTGGATTATAGGACAACACCACTGTCCCAGTCATTCAGATAGATAAATAATTCACATTAATTGAGATTGGACCCCATCCGGTTTATCGAAATGACTTCCTTATTTGAGTAAAGATTTTTTTAAGTTGTGTATTTCCCGTTGTAGTTCAGTAACTACAGTTACAGTTAACACGTCTAAAAGAGAGATGAATCTAAAGCTAACAAATTTTGTTCATGTTCAAACACTGTATTGTATTTTATAGCAACCAAGCGAACAGAGTATAGTAAAAACATGACATTACTTATTTGAGCTTTAAAAATGTGTGATAGCAGCAGCAGTGGTTCGTCTTTATGCAGCTAAGTCCTTAACACGTTCAGTGCTGACTACATCAATTGATGTAGTCACGCCACGAGCACTCCTATATAAATGATTGAATCTACATCAATTGATGTAGTTGCGCAACCCCCACTACATTAGTTAAGCTGCAGCTGAGCTCAGCCATTGCCGAGGAACGTTAAAATCGTTGCTAGCCTGTAGCTTAGAATGTGAGATTTATTTTGGTGTCGGTTGGTACTAAAATTTCCCATAAAATCCTGTCTGACAATGCGTTTGTCCCGGTTTCGGGGATTTTCTCTCTTCAAGCCATATTACAAAGCCACTGACTACTGATCCAGGCAGTGCTGCTACCGTCAGGTGTTTAAGGGAACTACATCCAATCTCGGGGTAACGTAGTACAATCACCGCTGCTCTTTTGTTATTAGTCAGATTGAAATATTTGAATGCCAATTGCATTCGCTGTTACGGAACCGCGCCAGGCCTTTGCCCGGGCCTCGTCGCCATTGGCGAGCGCCTGTTGGAATGCCTGCCGCACTTAACGTGTTAAAAGACGGTACTCTATTTTATTTCTTATAGAGACGATTCCAAATTGTTGACGTTCTACTGCATGTTAGTACTGTATGATACTGAATTATGGTATTCACTTGTAGTATACTGCTAGATTGTATATATACCTCTGTAATCACATACACACATAACGCGTAGACAGCAAAGTCCAGAAGCCATTGGTATTCCCCAAAGTAGCGCAAGTGAATCACGTCCAAGTCTGTAACTTTGGCAGTCTCCAGCTGAAAATTCAAGACAGAATTCTTGTTATTTCACATAAAACGAAATAAATAACATCAATGGATAATGCCTATAAATATAAATGAAATCAATACATCCGTATCTAAATAAATGAGCAGCAAATTTATTGTTTGTCATTGCTTTACATGGGTTTACAACATATCGATCAACAGTGTTTTATATATAAAATGTATATGGCAAGTACTGATTGAAAAAGCTGGAAACACTTCTTCCATTGACTAAAACACAGAAAGACTTCCCATGTACTGTAATGTAATAGTATATTACGTTACTAGTCCTGAAAGTAAGTGTTTACCATCACAAGTATGTGTTTACCATACGAGTCCGGTACACACATTATGGACGAGTTACGTACGATAGATTAAGCCATAATAATAAATCTGTCCAAATCCTTGTATATTACCACCAACTAAAGGACTAAAAATCACTAGTCATAACCTCTAAGAGAGGTTTTGATTAAGCTGGCGGCAAACAGCTGTTTTCTGGACTAAATCCTTGCGTGGGAAGTTCGTCAAAATAGTGTAGTGTGGCGTAAAAATGTATTAATTAAAATCAATACAGTATCATAGCAAACAGCTGATCGATTTATCACTTAAAACGGGGTTATTGTCACTGGTTGGTAGACCATCTCAACAGATTCAACCTCATTTGTTGGGTTAAAATTTATATATTAGATGAAAAGTTTATTCAATGCTACTACCTAGGCTTGGAACGACTCTTTTAACTGAGTTTTAGCACATTTCTATAGCGAAATAACCGTAGTTAATTATCATTGTAAAACGTGTCTAGGACCTAAAGTGCAAATATGCATTACATTATCACATGTCAGATGTCATATAATATACTTAGGAAGGATAAAGGATGTAGACTAAGTTCATGGATTCGACATAATCAAATTTGTATTTCATAACTGGCTTCAAACACTTAGTCAACACAATTTGTGGTTTAATTTGTGACAGCTGAGTACTTAATTACTGATCAGTTTTCTTTGGGGTACTTTTGGGATATTTTTGTTTTGATAAGTGTCGACAAAAATTAACCTGATTATTATCTTTTACAGTGACACATTATGAATACAGTAAAACTATTTGGTGTGTACAAAATATGGACGGAAACTATGCCTTAAAAAAGGTGGATAGATGAAGTAGTCAAAGACATGAGAAACTACGAAGACGTGCAGGAATAAAGGCAGATAGTTGAGTCAAATACCTTCTACTGTCTTTATGGCCATGAAAGTAAGTGAGCTTACAAACCCTTTGAACTTAAAGTTGAACACTTGGGGCTATTCCTTGATTTTTACCATTATTTTAATCTTGATTTTTTCTAAAATCTTATGATGAACAACTGAGTTAAAATTCTTTTACCTTCAACCAGTTTTTTTTTCAAATTAGCATTTAAGTTCAATCATTAGAATAAAAATATTCACTTTACCAGATTGTTTACTTACTTTAAAGTACTAGTGTGGTAAAGTAACAGACCAAATGAGTTCAATAGTTGAGAATATATACATTCAGTATTACTAATAAATTTGTATTTTTTTACTTTAGTGCCTTCTCCTAAAACATGTAACAGAGTATAGGAAATGAAGTTTTAAACCGTTATTAAAAAACGGTCATAGGTAAAGTAGTGAAAGCAACATGCATAATTAGCCTTTACAACACTCGTAGATGTTTTTAAGGCTTTGCTGTAAAGACGTACGCGATTGTTGTGTTTAAACTACTCTTAACTTATCCCGTACGGGCAGAGACAATGGATTTATCCATCTACTTTATTCTTTGGCGTTCAAAGAAGAGTGGCGCCAATTACGTGGACAAGACTGGATGGTTTGGACAGTAACCAGCAGGTTTCACACTACTATAGCACTACTTTCCTGCACTTAGCAGAAACACTGATCTTGTACAGGCATACCAACTTGTCCCCACACTAAAAACGTTAATACAAGTATTCCCAGATACCAACTGCAACCTTAAAAACCTGGTGTTTAGCAAATTAATTGTAGTGTTTGTCCAAAGTATATAGTTCCAACAGAATGTTACACAGCCAAACTTTCCGCTCCTTCAGTAAAAGGTTTAAAAAACATCCACCAAGAAATACCAAAGCTGCACAAACTACACAAAACATCTACATTCTCTCACAAAACATGCAAACTTCACAAATTTAAGGGGCTGTTAAATTTGACAGTCAAAATATCATTAACGAGAAAATTCAATTTCAATCAATCAAATTATATATACACAACACTGAAATTAAGATAGTGGAGAGGCAGTTGTCAGTGCTAAATCGAAAATTTAGGTACAACAGTTTAGGACAGTACTAAAAAATGGAGGCTGAGAGAGCGACTAAAGGACGTTGACTTTGCTGATGACATAAGCTTGCTTGTCAAAAATATACAGACATTTAGGCCAATTTTCGTTCACTAGGCTGAGCTTGTTGGTCTTAGGATAAATATAAACAAGACTAAGGAAATGAGATTAAACGCTAAAGCAGCTGGTGCCTTGGAACTTAATGGGAAAGTAGTAGAAGAGGTTGTATCGTTCCAGTATCTCTGGAGCATAGTCACAGCGGAAAGAGGAGCAAAAGAGGATGTGAGGAGTTGACCCTATTTGGCAGAATAGAAATTTATCGACCAGGACAAAGATCTGAATTTTTTACTTAATGTATACCAGCGAGACATGGAAGATGGACAGAAATAGTACCTCAAAGCTCCAGGTTTTTGTTAACAAGTTCCTGTGGATTAAGAAATAAGAATGTTCTGGCTGAACACTATCTCAAATGAGCAGCTATGGGAATGCACAGGGCAACAAAAGATAGAATTGGAGATTTTGAGGAAGAAGTGGAGGTGGCTAGGATACACCCTTTGAAAGCTCGAAAAGGCATTGAGAAGGCATTAGAGTGGAACCTGCAAGCACACAAAAGAGAGGAAGACCTTGTGGCAATTGGAGAAGAACAGTGGAGAAGGAGCATAGGAAGAACTTAAGGTCAGCTGAGGAACCTGGCAGAAGATGGGATTAGATAGCGAGCTCTTCTGGACGCCCTGTGCTCCTACTAAGGAGCTACAGGAGATAAGTAAAGGGAGGGGGGCAGTTGTGAATAAAACTATCAGATGATCGAGAAACCAGGTCATGACATCATCACCGTACAGTCTAAACACATCTTCCACCTGATCACGTTGTGTCTGCGGAATATTATCTTTTGGTTGTCACCTAAATGTTCATGTTTTATATTCTTGGACATGTGTGTCTAATTTTTCTTGATGACGAACTTGAGCTGAAACTATAGTCATACCAGAAACAAAAGAACCCTGGGCCATTTCGAGCCGCGCAGGTTTGAAGGGTAAGCCCCACCTACCGGCGCGAACCACGTGATCTTTTCATTTCTGCGCAGGTTGTTTTGTTCTTGGTATGTCTATAGTTGTCATACCACAGAGCATCAGATCGCATGCAGGTATTTACACCAATTTAAAACATTTAAATGCGATCAGTAGGCTGAAATTCAATCAAATGAAACACGTTAGAGTTAAAATATCTTTTACAGCTGATGTAAATAAGCCAACCAGAGAGATTAACATTAAGAGTAATGTTTTACACAGACGAAGTAAGACGTTTGCCGACACCAGTTTGAAAAATTGACTAAGTGTTTAATATGAACAGAGTGTCTGCGTAGATGAGCACCGTGGGTACAGGGTTTATCCCCTTTCTTACAATAGATAGAGGTTTAAAGATACAAACTAGATGGGTTTGGAGTTCAAACACTTTCTTGGAGAGCACAACCTAATAAGCTTGCCGTCTTTGGAACGATCTCCCTTTAGCTATTAAATCCCTCGATAGTCGTTCCCGGGTTGTAGCAGCACTGAAAAATCTCTATTTTCAACGCATGGACACGGTTGGTTTGTCCTAGGGGCTTGTGTGCATGGGCGATCACTGACACGTACTGTATGTGTGTGTGTGTATTTGTAAAATTTAAAATTTACTGATTTTTCTTTTAAGTTTCTGTATCTATGATTTCTGTTTTGTTTTATTGTAAACTGATTTTGTTAAATATTTCATTATATTTAAGTACAGGTTAAGTGTAAGGCCCGGTTCACAAGAACAACTTTTCTAGCTGACTAAGCTTTGACTAGTGGACCACAGGATCATACCGGTTCACACGAGCGACATGTCCACGGACTAGGTGAAAATATCGATATCAAAACCACTCGGTTCCATCACTGGTGCAAAATGAGAACAACAGGAAGAATGCGAGCTGCAGGGCGACTACCCGATCGCTCGTGTGAACGCTCCCATAAGGCTATGTGTACTGCTACGCAGCTCGACTGGGTGACTGGGTAGCTGCCTCGAGTGACTGGGAAGCGGGGCCCGACTAGGTTTTGGGACATCAAGCTCCCAAAACCTTGGAGCTAGTCGGCGCCCTACGCTCGTGTGAACGGCTCCATTTGGTCCTGTGGTCCGCTACCCACTCGGGCTTACCTAGTCACAGCCTACTCTGCTAGGAATGTCGCTCGTGTGAACGGGGCCTAAGAAAGGGCTATGTGGCACTAACTTTGCCTGGGTAAATAAATAATTTTGCATTTGATTTCAATAACTACCTACTTATTTTTCCTTTTACAGAATCATTCTTCCTGAATGCAGAACAATAATCCATAACAGAAGCAGTTCCTCACAAAACTTATTTTAATCTGTAGCCGCCAGTCTCACAACTTATAATCAACATTGCTCCCTTCCTGTCCATTCAAAGGTCTATGCAAGTCAAAGAATTCATTTCTTGCATGACACTTCTGCTATAAAATAAATTATTTTTGAGGATGTCTGTGTGTGTGTGTGTGTAGGCCTACCTAAGCTGAAGTCACCATAACCTATAAATCTAAGATGTATAGGTATAAATCGATGATATTAAGATATGTATCTAAGAGATCATACAAATATAACCTATAAGCTATTTAGGCCTACCTCAATGTCTAAATTTCTGGGGATATGGAAAGTTTCTGGACCGGATTTCCCATTCTCAGCATATTTCCCCCGATGATCTTTTTTGCCTTTGGGCTTTTCTTTAGGAACTCTTGCAAGTGTTTTCAATTCATCATTCGTCGGATATAGATATCTAATTAATCTGAAAAATAAAACAAATACATATTTAATCTTTTATCAAATGATGTAATAATGATTGTTTTTACAAACTATTCTAGATAAGTTTATGCGTAACAATAGAAACGGCAACTGGTCAGTAAGTCGGTGGCACAGACAGTAGCGCCACAGACTTCGGGTTCAAGGCAGCGATGGTTTGAGTTTTGATCCTGGTACCTGCCACTACTTTTAACAGTACACTTCACCCTTGTACTGTACTGGCTCAATCCTTGCTTTGCTGGATATGTTTTCACACAGGTCCGTAGCCTATGTGGATAAAAAACTGCAGAGTTAAAAGAGGCTGCCAACTTTAAAAAAAAAAAAAATTAAGTAAGTATAAATTAGACTACAATGTTTTCCTGAACAGTTAAATATTTAACACAAAGCCCATAAATTTGAAGTAGGTTTTTTTTCCTTTGAATTAAAATCATCCCAAAACTAATTTTGTGTAGCCTAGTTTTTAATATTTTACATTCAATAGGCTAAGGCTACCCTACTGTATTTTTGAGTCAAAAAAGTTTAGTATGTTCAAGATGTATATTTTAACTTATGAAGCTATAGCAAACTATAATAAATAGGTTTTCCTAACTATGATAAATAACAAAAAAACCAAGTGAATCAATCTCTGCTATAGTAGCTGTTAAAGAATGTACCTATCGCCTTAAGTCGTCCTAAAGGTTTGGGCAGCAAGGCTAAGGCCGTTCGGTTGGAGTCGCTAGCCTACAGTTGTTACTTAGGAATGATACCTTACATGTTTCGGTCGCAATGCTAACAACAAGCCAAAACAAACTAATGTACACCCTAAACCAACGGTTTGAAACAGGCCTATTTTTGCTGGCACAAAAGCTACTAACAGAGAGTTTTGGAGGTTATACACAGTAGGCTAGAATTAATCAATTTAACAATTAAATACTAAATAAAATCCAAACTATGAATATTTACTCTGTGTTTATATCACATACCCTGTGGAGCAGATCAGCCATCTTGAGAAGGAGAAGTGAGGACTTATTTTCTGTATGATGCTGACCATGACAAGTGTAAGGACTAGTTGAGTCCCCAGCAATGCCTAAAAAAAGCAAAACATTAGTAATTCCTATACCTACAAGATCCTCATGAAAAAAACCCCTCTGTAAAAGGCCGGTGTATAAAACGTCACGATTAACATTACAACTATTAAGATAGGAGACTACATAAAATAAACATAAGAAATCAGTAATATCTTTACAGCAGTATGAATTATGGGCATTTAGTAAGTAGGCTAGTTTTTTGTGCGATATCACTATTCATTATACCCCTATAAATTTACTGTAGTAGACCTAACTTTGTTAAGGGCTCGATTAGACAGGGTTGAAGATTACAAAATGTTATCCAGCGAATAAAAAAGCAGGTTTTTATGCGAGTACCAATACCATTAAACTCCTGCTGTTAACCCATTCATCTGACATATAGACTCATCTAGAGTGCAAGCAACAGTAAGTAGGCTACACCAAAGTAAGTACGCCAAGTAAACTTTAGGCCTAGCTATCAATAGCCCGTAGACTTCAGTATATTTCAGGTTAGAGACAACAAATGTGATGTCTGGAAATCTTCAGGTTTCTCATGAATTTCCTCTTGGATGTTGGCTGCTTTTGAAAGCCTCAAATGTCTGTCTAAAGATAGATCTAAACCTATGAGTTTTAGCCTAGATCATAGATCTTGATCCGCTACTTTATGTATTATCATGTAAAATTGTGAATATCTTCACAGCCTTGCACTTATAAGTTTTATAACATAAACACTGATGAAAACTCGGTACCGGTATAGCATGAGTAAATAGCTCATACTAGCCGATTTTCAAATTTTGTTGGATGTAGAAGTTACTTACTAGGCCTAGTCAAAGCCTTCTAACCATTTCACAATTGATCATGTCTATTGCAAGATTGAAATGCCTAATCACAGTAAAGGATATAATTTGACTAGCTTCAAAATTGACCAGTTCCAACTAAATAAAAAACAAAATAAGTAAGTAATTAACTTCCTTGTTAATTAACTATTAATTAACTTCCTAATTAGCCTAACTAAATGACTTCGGTATAATATACCAAAGTACCCACTATCTTAAGTTTAAGTTGCCTAGAATCAAAAACAAAAACATGTCCTTTTTTTCTGTACAAACTCTTATGTGTGAGTTTACTCATCAAAGTAAATGTGTGCGTGAGTGTGCCAAAAAGGACTGGTTTCACAACACAAGAAGTTAGTCAGTGTTCTATATCAACTGCAGTTTTTCAGGCCTAAAGATCTCAACCATTTACAGCCAAAGGTGGTTCGGAATGTTTACTTCAATCAGACAACAGAACAATGTCTGTTGGAGAAATTCAAATCATGGTTTTAATAGATAGGCCTACGATGACATGACAGGGGTGTCAAGTGGGCCTAGTGTATCCCTAGGCCTAACTTAGCCTATGTGAGTTCAAGATGTTGTTTGTTGCTTAGGGCTAACCTGCATCTCTTAAATAATTTAGAATGTGTTTTTATTTAATCTGATAGCAAATCTGAGACCCCATTTATTTTTAATTGTTCATAGGTTAATATATTGAGTTTATTCCAAGACTAGAACACACTTTGCTGATTTTTAGACTTAAACTTTGTTGTTGCAAGTCTTTACTAAATAATGCATTTAATGTTACAGGTTTTTATAAAGTAAACCACAGAATTAGGTAGTTTAAATCTCCTAAAAATGTTATCACAGTTCTAAATATAAATTTAAGGGTACCTATTTTTACTACAAAACACCTACCATTATTATGGTATCTCCACCTTCTTCACACAAACAGGATTAATAATATCAAAATTAATATTTACTTTATATTTAGTAATATACTTTTAGACACTGCACGTAAATATCAAAACGTGGCCTTTATTTTTAAAAAACTCATAAATCGAAAACTTTATCTCTTCGTTTTGGCCTAGATTGCATTGAACTATTATTACACTTACACTTCAAGCAAGATTTAGGTTAGTTTTGTTTGAGCGTTTGAGCTTTTTGAGGAGACTAGACTAGACAGCTTTTTTTGACTATACTACAAACAGCCCCACAGCTGTTAGAAAAGAAAAATATCCCGTTCGGTCCATGTTTCAATGTTCCAAGCTTCTTTCGTTGCGATCTCAAGGGTTGGGTCCCGTATGACCAACATCCCAAATGTCCGAAACTGAAATAGTTTCATTTAAACATCTCGTTTAACCAACATCAGATATAACCGACATCTAATAAGGCTGACACTGTAGGTTATTGCGGTTATGTCGATTATATGATATGTCTGTTAAATGCGACTGTGTGTAAGTTTTCAAATCTGACCGAAACTGAAATACTCACTTCTTACGGACAAAAAAGCGTCGACCAAAGAGGGGGAGAGTACTGTCACGGCCACCTAGGCGGCCGTGGTACCGGTGGTACAGTACTAAATGGGTAGGTTTCACAGAGTCGACAACCGTTAGTGGCAATATGATATAGCGTCTAAAATTCTATAAGGTTGTCATCCCACAACGACTAAGGTTTTCGATCGACGTTCCATATTGTAAGTGTCTGATATATGTTATGGATATTTCACAATTTTGACATGTCATAGCTCTTAAATTCAATTACTACAGAGATCACAAATTCGTATCTAAAGTCCGAGTATCTGGAAGTCAATAATAATTACATCGTTAAAAGCTTTAAGGGATTTCCGGATCAAGGTATGCATTTCATTTGTCTTAATTACTTGTATACTCTTACTCTTAAAAAATTCTTGTCTCGCATTAATTACTATAATATAAACTTCAGTTAACGGAATACATGTAATGAAGTAGCCATTGTTTATCTCTTTATATACACGATATTAAATGCTTTATTTCCTTGGTCATGACACATGTATGGAAAAGTCAAATAAACTAATAATAAGTAAGAGTACTTAAAAAATGTCACAATTACAAGATTTGTTTGTTCCTGCAACACTCCATGCATAGAAAATAAAATAATATCACAATTAATTGTAGAACTAAAGAACTAATCAAATAAAACATACTTACAGGTTGTCAGGAAGTTCTAAAAACTCATGGATTGAGTAAAGTGGTTTAGCCAATAGAAACTCCCTCAGCCTCTTTAGTTAATTTATGATTATCAAGGTTCCGAACTGTACAAGGCAATTTGTCCATTAATTTCAAGCTTAAGATTTCCTTACCAACTTGGGTTTTCTTTAGTCTAACATAAGGTACCGTCAGCCGCACCAGTATTATAAATGAAGTCCCAGTTTGTGTTTTCTAGGCGATATAAAAAGTAATTTACCTTGTCTGTTAAAATATGCCTACACACTCTTCGACCAGAACCATCAGGTACTGAGGTACTGCACTTGAAGCAGTTTGCAATGGAGGCTGATTGCGTCGTGATCACTGACAGCAAGTCTCTTCACTTCCGTTTTTAGAGCCTTTGGGTAAATTAGTAGCAACGTTGCTTCGACACGAATTGAAGAAGATCAAGGATTTGCACAACACTGCCGGCCTCTGATCCAACAAAACTGCATCATGACTGTATATAATGTATATATCTGCCAATGTCTTCTAGAAATTAAGGCAAATGAATTGCACCTTTTGAGAACAACCATATGAACATAGTTATGACACAAGAATGTTTTTATATGTTTTTATGCACAGACACAGGCTGATCGAAACAATGAAATTTTTCCCTGTTTCAGGTAACAGATATTTCAATCCTACCAACCCCTAACCACGGGGTTACGGTTTACCTGCAACCGTAAGGGACTTGCCTTTTTCAAGGTTCAAGGCAGTTATGAAGGACTGGTTGCAATACGATCCTTTTTATGACTTTTCAGATTTTTTATGTATGCCTACCTGTTTTGTTATAGAAATGCAAATCAGGTTGTTCTTAATGTTTTTGCACTGTGTTTGCATGGCTATTTTCTTTCCTGTCTTTTGCATGCTTTTTGCTTCAGTTTTGTTTGTTTCCTTATTATTATATTAATCTAGGATGCATTTGTGAGTCAAGATGAATTATTTATTTTGTATTGTGAGTGACATAGCCTATATTGCGTTGCTTAGTGGCCTGGTAAATTATTGAATCACAGACATCAGCCCTGTTGCTATAAAGCATGATCTAGCTCTTTGAGATTGAATTGCCACATCTGTATTACGAACAGTTACAATCGTATAGTAACCTAGTCAAAAAATGGTTTGTCCGTTGGAATTAATTGTTCAATCAAAAATTGTGTTTAGGTCTAGACTTGGGAAGATGATTAAGTACAACGAACGGAGTAAGAATAAGAATATTTATTTTCTATAACAATACATTTTGAATTGCTAGTTGTTACATATCTGCAATAACAATCACAGAGCTCATAACTAGCATCTACATGCTTCTACAAAGTGTAATCGTCACTTATATGGTGTTATCCTGTTAATGTAAAACAAATAACTGTTTTCCTGTTACAGGCAAAAAGTTTTACAATGCTCTCCCGGAAAGTGTACGGTCATTGCGGAAGTCAAAATTTAAAAAAATTGTAAAAGATTGGCTCGAAACGAATCCTTTTTATGAACCTATTGAATTTTTAGATGCTCTGAAGGCTGGCCATTGTTTAAGTTTGTAATTTTATTTTTATAATCAGGTATGTGTCACAATTTTCATTTTATTTTGTTTTTTGCCATAACTGCATGGTTTGCTGTTTTGTTTGCTGTGAAGATTAATTAACCATTATTTATTTCAGCATGGTTTGTAATGATGAACATTTCATTATTTATATGCATTGGTTTGTTTATTTTAGAATAGTTTGACGTTACCTATTGTATTTATTTACTTAATGGTATAATAAATCTCTTGAATCTCTCTCTTGAATCTCTTGAATGATTTTGTATATGGTATATGGTATTGCATTAATAAAAATACAGTGAACCCCCCCCCCCAAAAAAAACTTATGATAATATGTAAACCCGCAACCCGACCCAACCAAAACCAAACCTCCCTTTCCGAAAATAACAATCCAACCGTTAAACTATCCTCAATAAAACAAATACCACTCAACCCAACCACAACCGGCAGCGGTGGCAGAATAGCGCTTCATTAATACACACTCTCTCGTTATTTACACGTCTCTGCTACTGCTGCTATCCTTTCCCTGGTCGAAGAGGACTAAGTCACGGCCGCATTTACCAGGCCTTTACAGGCCGCGACCTGGTAGAATTGGCATCGTCGCAAGTGGTGTTGTTCAGCGACAGACGTCCCATAAGATAACATGGCAGACAGGTGACATCAGCTCATTAATTCGCACTTTATTGATTTCAATTTTAATTTATGAACATCAATTTATTAAAATATTGAAAATAAAACCCACAGAATTTATAAACCGAAACAATATGAATTAAAATCTATATCTGAAGGCCTACATTTTTAAGCGGAGTCAATATTATCATAGTCCAGAAACCAATCTTTCGTGAATACACAAATACCATTAGCTTAGCTGCTTCCAAACAAAAACAGCGGTTACAACACCACTTGCAACGTTGCCAGTTCGAAGGCCGCAGCCTGTAGTTAAAGGCGGCCGTGACTAAGTCCTCAAACAGCCTCAGTCCAGTAGGGTTTCAGCTCTCTGGATTGGAACATCACGAAGAACGAACGAACAAACGTAACGGAAGTCTCGGAAGAAGAAGGTTTCTACTTCTGGTTTTAACTTCGTTGGGCTGGCGGGTTGGCGGCTAGGCTCCCGCCATTTTCTTTTGCTATTGCTGCCTTGGTCGGTCGCTCACTGTTGCTGTTTGCTGTTATCAGTCTGCATAGCGCATTCTCTCATAGCTTAAGTTATAACTTCACCAAAAAGCTGAAGCTTTATTTCAACTTCTCTTTCATCCATAGTAAGTCTAACATACATTATTAAGCTAATCTTCTCGGTTTGATGATACAGGTTAGCGACTTCGATGACTGAAGTCGAATAGTTTAAAAGTCAACTTAAGTTATGAATTTATCTTCTAAAACAGTGTTTAATTAGCCTAGGGAGGTTGAAATGTAAGTAAATCGTAATAATGAGACAAAATGTGATCGTGTCCAACGTCTAGCCTAGTCTCACTATTACAATTTAGCCTACTTACATTTCAACCTCCCTAGGCTAATTAAACACTGTTTCAGAAGATATTCGACTTCAGTCATCGAAGCCTAGTCTAGGCGTTGGATGTAAATTCGCCTATCTCGAATTTAAGCAACTCTCCATGTCCACGCTAGGCCTAGGGTCTACTTCTGGGTTGAAGCAGCTAATATTTAGGCCTAGGCCTACCTAGATTGCCCTTCCTTAACTGAGTTACATATTTAAGTTATTAGCTTCTGTTCCATATTTGTAACTGTGATAATAAGCAGACCTAGGCCTAGGCCTACAAATTTACATCCATTCAAGTCTAAGCTTATGTTTAAATAGAATTGAATAGGCGGGTCTGCTTAGGCTAAAGGTACCGGTAACCTTAAACTGAAGGCCTGGTTTTTAAATTAGGCTAGGCCTAAGTTTTAGTTTTTCCTACCTGGCCTAGGCTAGGTTCAAGACTACCTAACATAGCCTATTATAACTTGAAGTTAGGCCTACTTGAGGTAGGTAACTTAACTCAGGCCTAAGGTGAATATTTGATACGGTACTTTATTACTGTAATTGATAGGCTACTTGAAGTCTTCATCTTTGACCAGCATAGGAGCTGAGATGATTCAAAACAATAAGTTATCATTAAAATCCATGTTTTAGCCTCTGAGCTGTATAATAACTAAAATAGGCTTTACCTTCGCCACTGCAGCTCAAATTCCTGTGGTGTAACTACGTTACGGCCGTTTCGGGATTACAATGCCATCGTCAGACTACAAAAACTCAAACTTGGCTGAAGTAGCGTTGTTGAAGTTTAAACACGTAACACATACGAACAATAACATACATTTAAAATATTTACAAAAACCGAACAGGCCTGTCCTACTAAC